TGCTAGCTTCCAGGATGAGTTGGGAAATATTTCTTCTGTCTTGATTACTTTTCTCTCATTGCTAAGACAAAATACCTGACACTCAAAATTAGGAAGGAAAGGTTTAATTATCTTACAATTTTTGAAGATTTTAGTACATATTCAGCTGGCTCCAAGGCAAGTTGGTATGGTACAAGGACAGCTGTTCATGTCAACTGCAAACTGCAAGAGGGAACAGGGCAAAAAAGAGAGAAAGACACACCTCTCCCCCTTCTTACACTGTATGTTGACTCCACCCTGGGTGGGTGTAGCGCTCAGACCACCAATCCCAGTGCCAGACAATGAACCAGTCAGGAACACTAGATTCAGCTGTGTCTATGACTGCAGGAGAGTGGGGAGGGCATCTGGCATAAATCACAACACCTTTCCCATCAATTTCATTACAGAATGAGAAATATTGGCATTAGATCTTCCCCTTGAAGTGCTTTTAGAGTTCAGTGGTGAACCTACGGGGTCCTGAGGCTTCTTTTAGTTGGTAGTTTTTTTTAAAAAATTACTGCTTCATTTTCATTGCTTGCCATTAGATTTTTCAGGGCTTTCTATCTTTTTGGTTCAGTTTTAGTAATTCACATTTGTCTAGGGATCTGTCCATTTCTTCGATTCTTCAGTTTGTTGGAATACAACTTCTCACAGTAGTTAATCTGTTAGATTTTGGTGGTATCCATTGTGATTTCATTTCTGTGATGACTTTTTTTTGGTACCAGGGATTAAAGTTACAACCTTTTGCTTGCTAGGCAGACTCGCATACCACTGAGCTAAATCCTCAGCCCTAACATTTTTATTTCTTATTGTACTGATTCAGGTCTAGGTCTTTTCTGCTTTTGGTAAGTGGGACTAAAGATTTCCCTATTTGGTTTATTTTTTTCTTTTTATCTTTTTGAGACAGGGTCTCCCTTTGCAGTTCAGGCTGGCCTTGAGCTCACCTTGCAACCCAGGCTGGTCTCGAACTTGAAATGATCTTCCTGTCTCAGCTTCCCAAGTGCTAGGATTATAGGTGTATGCCACCATGTTCAACTTTGTTATTCTTTTGAAGAACTAGCATTTTGATTCATTTAGCCTGGTGGCTTGGACACTTTTTCCATATTTCCATCTTTCTGGTGCTGCTTACTCTTAGCAATGGCACCTTTTAACAGGTTAATCCCAGTTCTTCTCTTGTACCAGGTTGGTATGGACTTGAGCTTGGAGCACAGCCTCTGCTACTGCTGCCAGCAACAAGTGCCACCACAGGGCCACTGCAGTCTCAAACAGACTTTTTTCTTTAAATCATATTGCTCACTGATGAACAATAATCTTAACTTCAGGAGCATTGTGAGCAGAAAACCCGACCTAACCGCAGTCATTTTGATCAATAAAGTTAAAATCAGTCTGTTCTCTGTCATTACCTCAATTAAATCACATGATTTGTCATCAAGTTGAAACCTCTGTGAATGTTTTAAAAACAATTTTGCTACATACATCCCTGCTTACCACAAGATACCCACTGTATTTTGTGACCTTCAGCTAAAGCTTATGTCTTTTTTTTTTTTTTGTACTGGGACTCAAACTTAGGACCTTGCACTTGCCAAGCAGGTGCTGTGCTGCTGACCTGTGTCACCAGCCCCACTTATCTCATTCTTGTAACTTCTATTTGCTACCTTGTAAAAAAGACAAGCTCGCTATAATCACTGCCTTAGACTTTGGAGATTACTCTTCTGGGGTATGCTAGCATTTATAAAATTTCCTTTCTTCTCCTAAGCTCCTGGCTATGTTGATTCAGTTTTTCTGCAACAATGGTGCTAAAAATTTTAGACTTTTCCCAGGTATGATGTGTTGATGTGTCATCATAGAATTACAAATTTTTTTGAGACAGTGTCTCACTGTATATTCCAGGATGCTCTTGAATTAATCATGTGGCCCAGGCTGGCCTTAAACTCACAGCAATCCTCCTGCTTCAACATCCCAAGTGTAGGGATTAGAGGTGTGCACCACTACACCCAGCTCCAAAGTATTTCATTTTATAGATTTTGTTTAATTTCTTGGGGGAAATTTCTGGGGTTTTTTGTTTTGTTTTGTTTTGTGTTTTTTGTCTTTGGGTCTCGCTATGCGTTTTAGGCTGCACTTGGGCTTGCTTTGTAGACCAGGATAGTCTCGAATTTGTAACAACCCTCCTACTTCAGCTTCCTAAGTGCTGGGATTACAGGAGTACGCCACCACACACAGCAGAAATTTCTGTTTTGAGAAAAGACAACTGCTGAGATGAAACTTTGGTAAAATCCCAGAGCAAACTGGGAAGGGACCTGAGAGGAAAAGGCAATACATTACTTATATTCTTATTATTACTTATTCTCAATGTTTCATTTTTCTTAGTGTTTAGGTCATTGAAATCATATTGAAAAATAAAAATGCAGACATGTTAAACTTTCAATATTAAGTTTACATATGATTATGTCAAAGCTAGAAATCATTTAACAATTTATTTTGTGGCTTTAGTGGAATTATACTCTATTTTTTGGTGTTTTTGAGAAAGTTCAGTGAACAGCACTTTTTGTTTGCTTTTTGAGACAAGCCACCAATAATGACAATCAGAACTTCATCGCCTTCCCTGACTGCCTATCCCACACTCAAGCCCATAATAATTTAGGTAATTGAAGCAGGGGCTTCCTTGAAGTGGAACAGCAGTAGTAGCTGTTGCTTTGACAACTCCTGTATGGAATTTTTGTTATGTCTGTGGCAGAAATAAAGGAGGCTACGCTTGAGTCATTTGTAGGTAAATTGATGCAGCTCAAGACCATAATGTGAAGGGAAATAAATCAGACATACAAGCTCAAATATTGCATGATTTCTCTTGTAAGAGAAACTCAAAATATAAATAAGGAGCAAAAAAATGATAATAGGAAGTAGGCAGAAGTTTTTCAAATGGGAAAGGTAACAAGAATTGGAGGGAGCAGGGATGGATCGAAGAAGAGGATGATAGAAGAATTAAGATGTCCTGTATACATGTTCCAATTCCCTCATGACAAATGTAGTCATTATGTACTGTGAATATGTGCTAAAGAAAAATGAAAATCCGAATACACCCAAAAGTAAGGAAAAAGAGTCCATGGCAGAAACCAAGCAAAAAAGTTCAGGATTATCACACAGAACAACAAAAGAAGAAAAACAACGGGCCCCCCAGGATTTCTTGTGTAGAAAGATGAGTTGAACTGGGAGTTTGAGCAAGTATCAGACACTGGGGTGCGACTTGGCACAGGGATTATGACCCTGCTGTTTTATTCCAGGACACACAACAGCGCAATGTTTCCAGCTGGGTAGTTCCATCTCTTCATATCCATCCTGAACAAACAATTTTTTTGCTGTTACTGGAGACTGAACAATGGGCCTGGCATGTGCTGTGTCACTGAGGTCTATCCCCAGCTCTTTTATTCTGTATTTTTTTGAAACAGGGTTGTACTAAATTGCTCAGGCTGGCTTCAATTTGCTATCACCCTCCTCAGCCTCCTCAATAGCTGGTATTACAGGTTAAGCGCCACCCTCTCTCCATCTAGATCAAAAGCCTTTTAGATGGATTTGAAGAGAGTAACCATATGAACTTCTGGTTTGTTAGAAGGTTAAAAGTAACACAGAGGGCCAGGGATTTAGCTCAGTGGCACAAGCACCTGCCTTGCAAGCGCGCAGTCATGAGTTTGATCCCCAGTACCAAAAACAAACAAAAAACCAAAAAGTAACACAGAGACGTGATTTTTCATGCTGTAGAATGATTTTATAACTGCAGTAATTTTAAATAAACTAAAAAGCTATACTTCATTGTGCTGCGTTTTTGAAAGAATTTATTGAACAGAGTTTCATTGTGTTGTGGTGAGGCACACTTGCAATCCCAGCTTCAGGAGACTGAAGTAGAATCATTCAAAATTTGAGGTTAACCTGGGATATTTTGCAAGATTCAATCAATTAATCAATCAATCAATTTTTTTTAAAAAGTTGGGATGTCGCTTGGGGGTAGAGCACTTGCCTAACATGGGAAGTCCTAGATAGATCCAAGTATTGCAAAAAGCAATCTCATTCCATGTGTTTAGTGCCGGGGGAGATAGCATATGGAAGGCAGCTACGTCAAGAATTTAGCAACAGTCAGGTAGTATAGAAAAGTTAAAGAGTTTATTGATACACTGCAAAAGAGCACTGGCTAAGTTCCAAGACAGGACAATACAGGCTAGGAAGTAGCAGAACATTATATGTGATTTCAGTGTGAGGAGGGATCTGGAAATCTCATCCAAAGAACACTTTGATCAGGCCATGGTCCTCCTGTGATCCACCTTCCTCAGATATAGACATAGCCAAGTGTTGTTTGAAGAATGCCATTCTTTGTTTGACAGAGTCTAGAATGGTTGCTTGAAACAATCCCTCTGGGCAGAAGCAATAAACAAGTGTGTAACGATTAATTGGGATTAGTGCTCAAGAGAGTCAGGATAAAGTGTATGTTCAAGACACTTCAAGCAGTTAGAACATCTTAAATTTGCGCTGGGGCTTGCCTGTGAAAAGTTATCGTTATACGATAGACTCATCACTCAGCTTTAATATGGTCTTTAAGAAACTAATACTTAACCAACCGTGGTTCCCCAACAGCTAGGGATCAATTGTCAATCATCAGATGCTGGTCTCTTTGTCAAGTAAATATCACACACCCTTTGTTCTGGCTGAACCACGCAGAGGGTTGTGGGAAATGTAGTCCAACCCCCACAATGACGTCTCTAGAGAACAGGAAGTAGCTTTCCGGCTTTCTTTTACGCACGCGTAGTCCTGCCCTTATGTCACTTTCTCCTGGAAGTTCCGGGTCCTGCCTCTCCGTGTAGTTACTCTTCTGTCAGAGGTGTTACGTTCTGTGTCCCTGAAGGGTGGTACGAGGGCGAGAGAGCAGCCTTGATCCTGGGGAGCGGGACAGGTATCCCGCTGTTGGCGGGAGCGGGATCGTGGGTGGGTCTGGGAAGCGACGTGAAGGCCGGGTCCGCGGGTCCCAGGCGGGGGAGGGGCGACTCTGCTGTGCTTTCCTGACTGCTTTGTAGGCGTGTCAGAGGCCGGGCGTGCGGCTGCAGGCGTCCAGAGCGCCTCCTGAAGCTCTGTGAAGAAGGTGGTCGTTGGTGCTGCGGGCCCCGCGGCGTAGGGGCCTGTTCTCAGCACTGTGACATCAATTCACGCATCTTTGGGCTGAGAGGATTAACGTTCCTAGTGGGACCCCTCCAACATTCCTAGAGAAATGATAGGGTGCGGACCGAGGCTCTTTGTGCTGCAATTGTGTTTGTGGACGTCTTAGTGTCTCTTCAGCACACGGTCACTTACTGCATTGTGTAACCTGACTAGCATCCTGCTCTAGGTTTACAGAAAAATTTCACCAGCTTGCAAGGGAGATTGGAATGCTGGGTAATAAACCGCTTTTCTTTAGAAAAATGTAGGTGTGCTAAAGTTTGGAAGAACAGTGTGGGCTGGCTCCCTCGTTAGGGCTTCACAATAGAGGCACAGTGTCTCCAGGAGCCTACAGGATCAATAACTGCTTGGTCCAGGCCAAGCTAGGGTCTAGCTGGTTGTTCAGATGGAAGAACATAAGGGTAACTGCTGGGTGCCCCTGGAGAGTTTGGCCTAACTTCCAAAGGAAGACGTAAGCTGGGCTGAGAAGATAGGCAAGGACTTGGGCAAGGTTTCTTAAAGGAGAGGTCTTGAAGGCGTGCTGTGGAGCAATACACTGTGGCCCCGAAAAGACCACCTTTGGTGCTCTCTGTACACCCATTCTCCCCTCCTTTCCTGGGTGTGACTTTCCTGCAATGTAAACTATCAACAGATTTGACATCTGACCGTGATCCCTTTGTTCTGTTATCTCTCACAGTTCGGGAAGGATTGGCCAATATGTTTCTTAAAAAGTATTTGTGCTTTTTACGAAAGATGCAAAAAATCGGTGTCCCACAGGTTAGTGACTTGCTCAGGATCATCAGATGTATAGCTGTCAGGTGCATCTTGACTGGGCTAATGTTATCTATTTTGCACATTTAAGAGCTTTATTTCCTTAATTTTGAGGTAATTTGGGTGAGATGAGGTCAGTTTAGCAGGAACATTCAGATTTGACCAGTTTTTGTTTTGTTTTGTTTTGTTTTTTGAGAGTGGGTTTTGCAGTGTAGTGCACTCTGTAGCCCATGCTAGCAGTGAACTCACAGCAATCCTCCTGCCTCAGCTTCCCAGGTACTGGGATTACAGGTGTGGACCACCACACTTGGCTATTACTGTGGTGTTTGTAGTGCTGTGGTTCAAACCCTGTATATAATACTGATTGGCTGATGGTCTGCCAGGTGTTACATATCCCAACCCTAAAATGTTGTTTCATACTTGTCCCAAACGTGCCTATCCCTTATTGTCTGCAATGTTTTCTGTGCATTTTGTGACTGAAAGGGTGAATCACAGGTGTGTTTCCCATTTAATGTCAGTAGTCTTTTCCTAAAAGTCAAATTCTGTGGGAAAATAGTAACAGCTGGTTTTACATTATTTTAAAAGAGCAAATTAGACTGTGTCACTCTTCAGTTTAAAACCTATCAAATGAGAAAACAATTCAAGGTTTATAATCTGTGTAACAGCCTGTTTTTCTGATGTAAAAACCTTATCCTTCTCAACTCCAGGCACTGCTTTGTTTGAATCATTAGGTTTCAGCCATACAGCAGTCCATCTTTTGGGTGTTTATTGTTTATTTTTTATAATGCTTTAAAAGGTTTTTTTAAAAATTGTATTTGGTGTGTCTGGAGACTCTCTTACTACTTCCCAAGACATTAAAACTTTGAATTCTAAGTTTTTTGAGCTAACAGCCTTTGCTGTGTAATAAATCAACAATAATTTGAAGAAACCATTTCATTTGATCACTTTCCTTTGGTGAACATAGGAGCTGGAGTCAGCTGAAAGATTGCTATGCTGGTGATGCCAGGGGTCACGGATGAGCCTTCAGTCACCTCATCCTTGACTGAGGTTGACTGGTTCCAGGTGACTTCACACCCCTCCTCCCAAAAGTGTCTGTACTGGCCCTTAGAGAGGCCCCTGTGTCTGCCGTGCAGTGGCCCCAGGCTTTCTCGAGGCCCGACAGCATCCAGGAAGACAAGCACCAGTGAGCCAATTCCTTTCAAGCTTAGGTTTACATCAGGTTTAGTGATATCTTCTTGACCAAATCAAATCAATGGCAAAGCCCAGGGTCTCGTCTTTGGGGAGTTAAAGGGAGGTGCTCCATGGGGAACCCGTGCTGGACTGGGATTATGAGAAGTGTACATTAAATACATTGTTTTCCTGTCTGAGCACGGGCGGAAGCAACATGTTGAGGTGCACATGCATGTTTTGCAGGAAACTGGGTGTGTGTGAAAGCCAAAGATGTAGTGGAAATAGTCATGTGGGCTCTGTGGGATATTAATAGAGTTCAGATAGTCCACAGGCATTTCTGTGACATTACTTTAAATTTAAATTATTTAGTTATTTCTTCAGGGAACATTAATTTTTGGTAAATCAGTTGATAATGTATATTTTTATTAACCTAGTAATCAGTTTTATATCTAATCTCTACCAGTGAGTGAATTTGTGGCTATGTCTTCAATGAATTCCTCCCCCATCTTTTTTTTTTTGATGCAAGGTCTCTGCATAATGCAGGTGTTTCCTTATGTAGCCCAGCCCGGACTTGAACTTGTGGTATTCTTGCCTCCGCCTTTTACGTAGATAGGAATACAGAACTGTGCCACCTGGCCTGGCTTTTGTTACACTTTCTAGAGTAATGGATTATACTCCCACAGAGTTGGTTTATTTGTTTGTTTTACCTTTTCCAGCTAATATGTGAAGTATTTTGAGGAGGATAATCTAGGTCCACGCCTGCCTGTTCTTTCTCGACTTATATTTGACTTCTCTCAACTATGCCTCCAGAGTCCTCTGTGTGGTTCAAAGAGCAGCAAAAAATGAATAAATCTCCGGTGAGTTATTCATCCTTCACTTTGTTTTGCGTTGTGTTCTTAGCAGCTCTCTGAGGTCCATTACTTGAAATGAACTTGTAGAATGTGTAAAAACTCAGCTTTATGGAAGTGGACATAAATAAAATGTCATTAGCATAAATAAAGACTTGAAAGACATCTGTGTTTTAAATTTTTTTTTCTTTTTATTGGCTGAAACGTGAAATAGTATATACACAATCATGAATTTTTACAATAAGTTCACAAAACTGCAGACTAATCAAGGTAGAATGGTTGCCAGCATCCAGGCAGCTTCCTTGTAGCATTTGGATCTTACTTTTGTGCAGAACAAGCCAAGACTGGTTTGAATTTTATCTATAGTATTTCCTCTATTTCAGTTTGAGAATAGAAACTTAACAAAACCAAGGGTTTAGGACATGGGTGTCTCCTCCGTGGCTGTGGGTGCTGTATTAAACTCTGTGTGGAGTACAGTTTAGCTCTGGCCTTTCTGATGCTGTGAGAAAAAGTCAACACACTTGTTTCATGATTGGGATGGAACCCAGGAAGAGAGCGGGTAACTTGTCCTGGCGTGTGATTGCTACATCAGGAGCTAAAATGTTATCTTCACTGGTCACATAGAGGATACAGTAGAAGGTTTTTCACCACCATCTCAGAAATAACCACTTCCAGGACTCAGGACTCCGCGGTGTAAACAGTTCCCTGGTGCTCAAGGAAAACCTTCATCAGCTTGTTCTGGAGCTGCTAAGACACTGCTGCCAGGCCGCTTTTGCAGGGCAGTGACTGATTCATGGATGAAGGCTCAAATGTCTGGAGGATTGAGCTGACCATGAGTCATTCAGTGACTGTCCCTGTGCCCCAGCCCGTGTCCACATGCAGCACACACGGCAGACTGGTCAGTGTTTCCCGGCAAATGTCCCCACTACTGATTTGTACTTTAACCCACTCGGTGTTGTCTTAGTTCACTTTTCATAAGTTCATTAATAACATGCATTGCAGTTAAGTCCAGAGTTGATTGCCATATTTTTAACTATTGTCCACGATTGCCTGGAACTTCTTTGTTAGTGACTGTCACAGGTTTCCTTTTTTGGGGGGGTACCAGGGATCAAACTAAGGAACTTGCACTTACCAGGCAAGCACTTAAGCCACTAAACTAAATCCCTGCCCCCCTTTTTTTAATGATTTTTTTTTTTTTTTTGTCCTGGGGATTGAACTCATAACCTCATGCTTGCCAGGCAGGTGCTGTGCTGCTGAGTTATCTTCCCAGTCCTGTCGCATATTTTCTGTTTCCTTGAATTCTTTCGCATTTTTCTGCTCATTCACATGGCTCCTCCAACTTCTTCACAACTTGGATCCTATTCTTTGTGCTCAGCATTTCTTCTTTAGAGATTTCGCTCCCTGGGATTTGCACTCTCTTCTCTCCAGCTTCGACTTATTCCCTCAGAACTTCAAGGCTCAGTTCTTAACTCCCCTTTGGAACATCTCTTTACCTAGAAGGTACCTCAAGCTAACAAATCCAAAAGGAGAAGCAGAACTTCTTCTCTTCCCTTAATACTGTATCACACCTTCTTGCCAGTGGTGCAACCCTGTAACATGAGACATTTTCCCCCTTACTCTTCCTCTCCATCAAATCTGTCTCATCTGGTGTGATCTGCATCTTTTAAATATTCATCTATTTTATTCAAATATTTGCATATAGTGCCAGTGTAGGAGGAGAGTCGATTATGCTTGTGGATTGATGCAGTAACTCTGGAAATGTCAGTTCTTGCAGAACCTGAAAAGCCTGTTTGCCCAGTGATGAGGTTCAGTCCCTTGGGAGTAGTGCTGATCTATGGCCCATGTGGTGTACAAACACAAGTGTATAAATTCCTGAGGACTCAGGATTTTGTTGGAGAAAGCATTCAGGGATTACCAGGACATATTTGAAAATTTTTATTGCAGACTCTTTTCAGTTCTTTCATTTTGTCTTTGTGAAATGGTCTTAATAACAATAAATTCCCATGAGCACAGGCCCACATGGGTGAAGGTGGTTAAAGATTGCTATGGATAATTGCTTTTTACTTGCCGTGTTGCACAGTGTGTGGACTACCTGATATACATGGGGCTTGGGCTCAGGTTTTGATTCCACTGACTATAGCAGGTATAGGAGTTAGCAATGCACTGTGTGCTGTTCTGCACAGCGTTCTGTTGCTACCTGTGTGGTTGTTTTTGAGCACAGCACAATTGGATCAAAAAAATACCAAAAACCTTAGATAGAATGCTAAATTTACCATCTGCAGGACCACCTTACTACCTGTCCAGGACCACACGTGGCTGACATGCTGCAGGTTGAATGTATCTGCTTATTCCATGAACCATTAGAGGGTGTTCCAGATCCAAACTGAAACAGCTTCTGCAATCTTTACCTGAAGAACTGAACTGAATGCTAAGGTGGTGTTCTGTTGTTTTAGTTGTTTGGGTATTTTTTTTTTTTTTTTTTTTTTGAAACAGGGTCCTGTCCTGTAGTTGAGATTGGCCTTGAACACACTGTGTAGCTCAGGGTGACCTCAAATTTATGGCAGTTCTCCTGCTCAGCTTTTCAACTGCTGGGATTACTGGTGTGTGCCACCACAACTGGCACAATGGTATTTTTATTTTTTTAATTTTAATTTTTATTTATTTGGTACCAAGGATCGAACTGGTGACCTAACACTTGCCAGGCAGGCACTTATGCTGCTGAGGTAAATCCCCAGCCCCAGAATGGTATTTTTTCTACTTTGAAAACCTTTCCTTTCTTCTTTTTTTTTAAATTTTATTTTAAAGAGGATAAAACTAAACAAAACAGAACAAAGCCAATCAGAAGAAAACAATGTAAATGACACAGATTTCAAAGCAAGACAATAGGAGATCATCACTGGCTACCATGTCTCTTGTTTTCTTCTAAATAGTTGTTCATATCTTCACACACAATGAATTCATACAAAACAAAATAGTATTAAACTGATCAGAACAGAGTGATGAAGGCATATTAGGTCTTCAAAACCAGACGATAGGGAAATCAACAATGGCTGCCATAATGTCTCTCCTCCTCTTCAAAATAGCTGTCTATACCTTCATGTATGCTGAAATTAAACAAAACAAAACAGACTAAAACCACTCTGAATGAAGAATAATGGTATTACTGGATTTCACAGCATGATGCTACTGAATCAACAATGGATAACATAGTGTCTCTTTTTCTTCAAAGTAGCTGTTCATTTCATTGTGCATTATATAATCGATTCTCCCCATTTACTTTTTTTTCTTTGGTACCAGGGATCGAACTCTCAACCAGACGCTTGCAAGGCAGACGTTTATACTGCTTAGCTAAATCCCCAGCCCCAAATCGATTCTCATAAACTGCTTAGAAATTTTAAGCATGTATAAGTTTCTGTGTACCTATCCTTTCTGTATTAGTGAGAAAAACAAAACTAAAGAAAACAAATTACTAGAAAAACACAAAAAAAGACAAATAAATAAATAGTAAAGAGCCCAAACACTAATAATATTAGAATGGTATTTTTATTTTTTTTATTTAAAGAAAAAACCAAGAGAAAACAAAAATGGGTAAAGGTGTTACATAGTTTTGAAGAAAATATTAACGCTAAGAAATTACTAGTTGATGAGATATATATTATCCTCTTAGAAATAGTTGTTCAAGTTATAAAATCAAAGGATCAAAGGTGGACATTCACAGTGCAAGTCATTCGGTTCAATGATCTAATGAAATCTTAGTAATATGATCATCTATCTCACACTTAACCATACATACAGTTATATCCTTTAGAGCACTTTCCCTCCGTTACACAGTTTCTATTATACATTTTGGATGTTACTACTCTTTCAGTTTGTTACTATTTTTTTTACACTAGAGAGACTGATATTTACAAATGTGGGTCTTATTTCACTTATGAAGAATGTTTTTTTTTTTTCCTTCGTCTTTTTCATTTTTACCGGTACTGGGGATCGAAGTCACGACTGCCTGCTTGCAAGGCAGGCACTTATGCCGCTGAGCTAAATCCCAGCCCCAAGAATAGTATTTTTTAAAGTATCTCTTCAATGTCTTTGTGGACAATCAGAATTGTTCTCCATTGCATCAAGAATATGACTGATTGTGGAGTTCTTATATTGAACTTTCCTTTGTGAGATAAATTCAGGAAATTCCTTTTCTGTCAGTAAATTCTAGTTTCTTCAACTATTTTTACTTTTCTCCTTTAATTTCTTAGTTTCTCTTCAAATCATTTCATTCATTCTGATGAATTCAGGCTGTTACACATTTTTTAATCTTCAGTTTGCATCTCACCTTAAGCCTGGAAAATATATATATATTTGGCAGTTGAAATCCAACATTAGGTACTGGACATTTCTCTAAATATGGTGTAACATCTGTGTCACTTGGCCATCAAAGTCTTCTTCTGCTTTCCAGAGTCCACTTTATGATCCCAGTGTGTAGCTAGCGGCAGTCATGCCGGCAGCCAGGAAGGAAAATGTCCCTTTTTAGCCCCTTCTCAGTACATTGGCAGCAGCTTCTGTCCTTGCTTTTTCTTCTGTGTGGTCTGCTGAGGACTTGCCTACCTCTTGTGTGGTTTTGCTTCTCTGTGTGCTGCTGGAGGTCACTGTGTCTCACCTGGCTCTGTCCCCTCTGATGCTCCCAGGAACCTTCTGGTTTCCCTTCTAGGAGCTGACTGTGGAAGCGCAGAGCTGCCCGGGAAACCTATCTGTTCTCCCCGGACCTTGTTACTTACACCCTGCCGGTTGGGGTATCGCGGTGCTCACCTGGAGCAAACATGGGGAGTCATGTGGCTCACAGGAAGGTCATAGAGGACGGCTGTGTGCATGGTGTCAACTTAAACGTAACTAAAAATTGACAGGTGCCTACCCTGTGTTTCTGTTGGAATATATTCAAGTATAAATGCAGAATCATGCACTGGATGGTTCCTTAAGTGTTGTGTTATGTGCTATCCCAGACCAGACACCAGACATGACACTGTGGTTGTTCATTAATGTGAGCGTGTTCTTGCCGTGCCACTGGGCACAGTAATACTGTTGCCCTGTAGTCAGGGGAGGACCTGGTCTGCAGAGGGAAAAGCTAGCAGCTTTGGGAGTTCAGTGAAGTGCAAGCCTGTAACACAAAACAACTATGGTTTCTCCTTTTGATTCTTTAGCTTTGAAATTATGTCTGAATAAGTTTATGTAAGAAGTGAACGGTGGCCATGTATTCATACTTATTTCTTCTTCATACCTGAATGTAAGCTCCTTGAAGGAAGAAAATTTTAGTCATATTTTAATCTCTAGCAAAAAAGTATGGTATCAGTTTTTGGGTTTTTTTGGGTGGGGCGGGGAGGACACAGGGACCGAACTCACGAGCTCACATTTGTCATACAAGCACTTGTGCTGCTGAGCTAAATCCCCAGCCCTGGTAATAGTATTTTTAGTAATTAAGAAATAAATATAATGCACAATAGTTCTTTGATTTTCTTTTCTCCCACAACGTGGAGTAGAAAACAAGCTATGTGCATTATAAATACCTCCATTCTCACTAATGTCAGAACTTCACATTCTCCTTGTCATTCAGAGCTGATGGGTGAGAAATGTTGTGTTACAGGTGCTGGTGTCCTTTGAGGATGTGGTTGTGGACTTTACCTGTGAGGAGTGGCAGGACCTGGACGATGCTCAGAGGACCCTGTACAGGGACGTGATGCTAGAGACCTACCGCAGCCTGGTGCTTCTGGGTGAGTGAAGTCCCTGCCACACTCAGGAACGGGCCCCTTCTTAGTAAACATGTGAGTGCTAGTAAGATTCAATGCTATTTCGTACAGCTTCTAGTCCATAAAGAGTGTGATTGTTCCCCCTTTCTAACAAAGGGTTCGCCTTGGCACCTTCACTGAGCAGCGCTTGAAGCTGGGCTTTTTTCATTCTGCATAGAATCTGATATAGCAGTTTCTCAAATATATTATTTCCCATTAACAGGCCATTGCATCACTAAACCTGCAGTGATCTTTAAACTAGAACAAGGAGCAGAGCCATGGATGGGAGAAGAACCCCCAGATTTGAGCCCCTCAGGTAAGTCCCTGCTTTCTGGGCTAGGAGGCTGGGAGAAAGAGAACTGAGCAGGTGTTGGCAGCCACTTTTCCCCAGGTTGCAGGCCTGAGGGTAGTTGGTCTGCATCCATCAGAGATGTGCATTACATAGTTTTCAAGGTTGCATGTACATTCTCGCCTTTTAATTTAAATAGATGAATAGTGAAATAGATGATGGTGGTTAAATAGATGATGGTGATGATTCTTCTTCCTCCTCTTCTTTTTTCTTTCTTCTTTCCTCTTTCTTCTTCCTTTTTTAAAATTTTATACTGGGGATCAACCTTGCCAGGTAGACACTTACACTGCTGAGCTAAATCCCTGGCCCAAATAGATTCTTACATTTAGTACAAATCTAATCCTTTTATAGAAACAAAGAAAAACAATTTCACATTAGAAAATCTACCAGTGCAATCTATTACATTATTTAGGAAGAAAAGCTACATACTATAAACTGGTAACAATTCTAACTTCATAAAATGTTATCCCAGTAAGACAGGGAGAAGCTCTTTTATTTTACTATGAGCATTCCATAGAAAATGCTTAGATGTTATTGATGTACATTTTTTTTCATTTTAGATGTCCAAAGAGTGGATGACATAATTGAGACCAGCCACCAAAGTGGAGATAGACATATGTGGCAAGTTGTAATCACCAACAAGAATACGTCAACTGAAAATCAAGTTGAATTAGGAAATACTTTTGATTTCAACTCTAGCCATGTTTCAGATTTGATTATAAATAATGGAAACTATTCAGTATTGAAACCTGAAGAAATTGTTTGTCAGAACATACATCTTCCCAGTGAGCCTGGTGAGATGGTTGCTGGAGAGAAAACTCATTTGTGTAATATAACTGGAAAGTACCTGAGACATGCTGAGCATTTGGGTCAGCATTCCAAGATTCCAACTGGGCTGCCAGATTTTCAGTATAGCGGACAATGGAAAGCCTTCAGCAAGGAGGCAAAATTGCTGAAGGACTGTATTACATATAACAGGGTTCCTATGGGACAGGCCTGCTGGGAGCATAATGAATCTAGGAAAACCTGTGAGAAGTCAGCTCTCAATGCTAAGGTAGGGAGGAAAACTCATAAAAACTGTGATCTCACCACACGTCAGACACACACGGGGGAGAAATCCTGTGAATGTAGTGAATGTGAGAAAACCTTCATTACTAAATTAGACCTTATAATACATCAGAAGAAACATTCAGGGAAAAAACCCTATGCATGTAACCAGTGTGAGAAATCCTTCAGCTACAAGTCAGACCTTATCGTCCATGAGAGAATGCATACAGGGGAAAAGCCATATGCATGCAATAAGTGTGGAAAAACCTTCAGCCGGAAGTCAACTCTCACAATCCATGAGGTAATTCACACTGGCAGGAAGCCCTATGAATGTCATGAGTGTGGAAAGACATTTCACCAGAAGTCAAACCTTACCAGTCACCTGAGGACTCATACAGGAGAGAAGCCCTACGAATGTAACGAATGTGGAAAAGCATTTGGCCAGAAGTCAAATCTCAGAACACATCAGTGTATTCACACAGGGGAGAAACCATATGAATGTAAACAGTGTAGGAGAAGTTTCTACCATAAACCAGCACTCACTATACATGAGCGAACTCACACTGGCGAGAAGCCCTATGAATGTAATGAATGCGGTAAAACCTTTTGCCAGAAGTCCTACATCAGGAAGCATCAGAGAACTCACACTGGAGAGAAACCCTATGAGTGCAGTGATTGTGGAAAAACTTTTGGCCAGAAATCATATCTCAGTAAACATGTGATAATCCATACTGGGAAAAAACCCTATGAATGTGGCCAGTGTGGAATAACCTTTTCCCAGAAGTCAAACCTTAGTCGGCACCTGAGAACTCACACAGGAGAGAAACCTTTTGAGTGTAATGAATGTGGAAAAACCTTTGGCCAGAAGTCAAGCCTCATTGTCCATCAGGGTTCTCACAAAGGGCAGAAACTATATGAACGACAACAATATCGGAGAAGTTTCTTCCATTAGGGCCCACTGTACACTAGAACAACCACACAGGATAGAAACTATATGAATGTAATCAAGGTGAGGAGAACTTTGAGCAGAAGTTAAAGCTCATTAAGCTTAAGGTAACCACACCTGGGAGAAGCCCTATGAATGTGTTTCAAGAGGACAAATCTTTTACAGATGTCATAGCAGGCATTAAAAAGCTTACAAGGGAGACAACTATGAACATGGAATTGTTTCCTCAGAAATCACGCATCAGTGCATAATGGAAAAATTTTCACTGCAGAGACTGGTCATGTCTCCTAAAACCGTTTCTTTCTCTCTCTAATGCAGTCTTCATTTCTGGCTTTAATTTATTTTGGCCGTCACTGGTCAACAAAGTTATTCTTGGACAATATAGACAGTGATGAGTGGCATGTCATCATAAAAGGCAGTGACTATGCATTTCTCCGATTCCTCATGTCTTGAGAACTGCAGTGTGGGTAATTCTCAGGATGACCTTGGGAGATAAATACGAAAAGATCACTGGGTTAAGACAATTGAAGAGAACAAAGATCTTCCCAGCTGTATCTCTGTACCCCTCATTTTTTTCTGAAAGGGAGAAGTAAATCTGTACTCTGCTGTTCCATTTTTTATGTGATCTGTGTCACTGGTAAGCCAGTTCTTTTATGAGAAAATGTATACAGCGCAAAACTTGGTGGTGTCATTTTTAGACCCCAAGTCAGTTTTTGGAAGAATTTTTTTTTTGTCTTTTTTTGAGACAGGGTCTCACTGTGCAGTTCAGGCTGGCCTTGAGCTCACTTTGTAGCCTAGGCTGGTCTCGAACTCACAACAATCCTCTTGCCTCAGCCTCCCAATTGCTGGGATTACAGGCATGAGCCACCACGCCTGGCTTCAGTTTTGGAAGAATTTTTTAAAATGTGGAGATATTAAAAAATGGAACAAATTTGGGAATGCCTTTATCATGCAGTGACATCACTGGAAAGTGAGAATAAAATAAATTTATATCCTTAATATGTGAAGGCTTTTAATAAAAATACACATTTTTATGTATCAGAATTTGCAATGAAAGAAAAACCTGCCAATTTATCTAATAGAGATCTAAGTTTTAAAATACAAATATTAAATATAATATCAAAGATAAGGAATATTTCTTTATACTCCAGTGAAATACGAGTGGTGATATTGCCTACCATGATGCATTTCACTGTTTCTACAGGGTTTTTTTTTTATTACTAATAATTGTGATTGGGAGGTGCTACCTGCATCTATGGAAACAGGTCTGGAGTGCAGCTATACAGCCTATAGATCACCGAACTGCCTCCTCAACAGTGTATTCATAAGAGTATTTCATATTAGAAATTTTCTTCATTGGGATCTAGAATTGGGGTGGTATTTCATATACTGTTAATAAATACTCTGACTTAAATTAGCACAGTCAGTTTTTTGTTGTCATGGCAAAATACTTTAGGCTTCAAAGTTTATACAAAATGAGCTTTAATTTGCACATAGTTTTAGAGGTTGAAGCTCTGAGTAAGGTACCTGGCCAACTGCCCCATTGACTGTCACAGCACACTGAAGAATGTAGAAAGCAGCCAATATAGAAACGGCCACACGTGCAGTCTAAGCCTGCTTTGTAACAACCCATACTGAAAAGAACTAAGTCCAAGATCTGAATTAATTTCTTAATCCTTACCCCTCACCTGCCAGGCCGAATATTTTGAAAGATCACCCACCTCACCACACACTGAAGACCAAGCCCTCCACAGCACATAAACAGGCAGCAAATCTTCGCCAAACAACAGCAAGTAGGATTTTTTCACTTTCAGTGGCATTCTAGCTTCTTTTTATCTTATTAATACATTAATGAAAAAGTATTCTGTATATTATTTTCTATTCTTTGTGTATATAAATTTATTATCAAACTTTTAAGTAACAATTCCCCCTCCCGAAATTTGGCTGTAAGCATAGTATTACCCAGTATTTAAAAGAAATACTGTTTTCATAAAAGTGCACAAATTGGGGCACATATTTGTTAATAGGTTTTTGAATTAGCTTGAACAGCTGTGAGCAATGGTACTGTTTTCTTCTATCCAGTGAAAAGCAATCTCTGGATGCAAATCCTCCCCTTCATTCTTACTATATCTTGAAATGAGGTACCGGCAGGGCATGTGTGCACCAAGTGCTGCAAAAGTGAGTGACCACTGTTTGCATTTCAGTGATGGAGTGTTCTGTGCATGCACAGTAGTAGGAGCAATACTGTTAAGTTCCAACTCCACCACTTACTATGTGTGTGACTTCACCTTAAGCATCTGGGCTGTCATGACCCATGTGCGTCTAGAGGTTGCTGGGGTGAAGGACCTTGAGATGATGAGAAAACAAGCAAGAGACAAAGCTGGGGTCAGGTGGAGCCCTTGCACCCCTGAGGGGAGGAAAGGCGCTGCTCAGCCCTGCAGCAGGTTGGTTTATACACTCAGGAGGAGGAGGATGTCAATTATGCTGCACTGCAGTTTGTTTGCCTGGCTGGCCTGGGCCCTCTCTTGCCTTCTTAGATCAAGAACGGCTAGTATAGAAGGCTTGCTTTGGGGACTTTGGGTTTTCAGAGCTGTTCTTGCTTTAGCCCCATATATGTGATCAATATCGGGTTTCAGTGGCTCCCTACATGTGATCAATATCGGGTTTCAGTGGCTCCCTACACTGGGCTTCTGGTTTTTCATATTTACAAAAAATAATAGTAGAATTTGTCTCAAAGAATCATTATGTGAAGTAAATTGAGTGATGTTTCCTAAAAACATACTTCCTTGTGCTTGAAAAATAGCATATATTCTGTAGCCATGTTGGTGATAGTCATATCATAATTTCAAAAATGTGTAAAATTAGTTGTCTCTCAAAGTGTTGCTTTCCTGTGCAACAAACATTTTTCCATTATTGACAGTCTTGATTTGGTTTTGTTACATACTTCTACATAGTTATGTAGAGTTGAGCTTTTTATGATAAGCTTTGACTATTTCCTTTAGTAGTTGTTTGAGGCCAAACATATATTCCAGCTCTGCTCAGCTGTGCAGTATGAGAGATGTGTGGCCTGTCTGGGAAAGTTCTCAGCAAGGAAACAGACATGGAACAAACAGTTCTTAGACTGAAAGACATTGAAGTTTGATGACACACCTATGGTCACATGTGCCCCTCAGTTGTTGTTGGGCCTGAGAGTGGCGGGGTGGAACACTGTAGAACCACTGTGAATGATGATGTCAAGGACGACTGAAGTGGCCAAACCAAAGTTTCTATGCTTTGATATATTTATGTGGCCATTAGGTTCCTACTGTTGTGCAAGAAATAGCCACCAGTGTATTAAGAGAATAGACATTTACTACCTCAGTTCTGGTGGTCACGATTCTAAGGATGGCTCAGCTAGGTCCTCTGCTCAAGATATCAGATGGCTGCAATCAAGATGTTAGCCATCCTGCATTTTCCTCTGGAATCTTAATTGGGAAATGCTTTATACATCTTCAGGTTTTGGTAGAACCTGTCCCCTTAAGGACTGAGAGTCTGGATTCTTAGTGGCTATTCGCTCCTGGCTGTCTAGTTCCTTCTGTCTAGGTAGGACCATCAGACTTTGTGCCTGTTCATGATCTGTAGGATAGCGTTCCACTTCTGTATGCAAGTATAGTCTTAAATAAGTATATATAATCATGGGAGTTGCATTCCTACACATTTTCTTAGTCACTTTTTCCCCCATTGGGGTACAATCCCTGACACCCAGAACTTAAGGGACAAAATATGGACACTCAGCTTAAAGGAGGAGAGATTTATTTTTGGTTCACAGCTTCAGTGGATTCAGTTCATGGTCAGCAGACTACAAGACAGAAACAGTGTGGCAAGATGGCATGGAGGAAATCTGTTCACTTTACAGTGACTAGAAAGCACAGGAGGGAAGTTCTGAGTATTATAATCCCAAACACTGTGTACAATCATCCAAGTATTGTAATCCTCTTTCTAGTTTTCCTCACAATCCAAAAAATTATATTTGTAATCCCATTGAGATGTTATTGGAATCCCAACAAGTTAATTCCAATCTACCATCTCCAACACAACCCATGTCGAGAGTAAAGACACCAAGACATATTCTAAGTTAAGGGCAGTGAAGGGGTCTGAAGTCCAATCCCCATGAGGATGTGTGGACAAAGGCCTTGATCCTAGGACTCTCCCAGAATTTATTATCTTGTGAAGAAGGGGGATAGCTCAGGGATGAGTGACAGTGAGGATGGCGGGAATTAACGTGAGTAACTTGAGCTGGCTGGCCAGGTGGGGAGAAAAGCATCTCTGCAAATTGCAGAGATAAAGATATGCAGAAGGATCAATCCACATAATCCAATTGGGGTAGCAACAGAATTGTTTTGGGAGGCTGTCCCTTTGGTTTCTGATATGCAAACTCTTGTGCCCTAGAGAACCATAGCCTCTTTACCTCTCCTACCCAGGTGACATTCCTGGAGCTATTAGCTCTAACATCCCACTGTGCTTATATCCTTTACATGAAGAACACTATTGGAGGAGACAGGACTGTCTGTCGGCTTTAGAGATTACATACCATTACCTCAGTAAGCCTTATTTGCAATGCTTAGAGCCAATTGAGGAGAGAAGGAAATACCATAGCCAGCTCTCTACATATCAGTATAATGAAATAAGTCTCCAAATAATCAAAGTCACAGTAATTGTTTTACATTCAAGGGGAGTCACTGGAGTTGTCTCCCACACTGAGGACTAGGACACCTGAAGTCATGCCGTCAATGACCCACCCTTTCCAACCAGACTCTACCTCCAAATGTGAACCTTTTGGGCAACGTTTAAGACCTAACCATACATTCTACCTCTCACCCCCAAAGGCTTATGTTCAAATTATTAGACAGAATTTATTTAGTCCATCTCTAAGAATCACCAAAGTCTTAACAATTCCAGCACTGTGGAAAAGTTCAAGTTCAAAATCTCTGAGACTCAAGGCAAACTCTTATCTGTGAGCCACTGTAAAAATAAAAATATATATAAAGTTAAACACTTCCAGAATACAATGGTATAGAACAAATATTCCCATTCCAAAAGAGATGAATAGGAGAATAGAGAGAAATCAAACCAAAGCAAGACTGAACTTCAGCAAGGCAGATAGATGTTAAATCCCTCAGATGTATGTCTAGTACCTAAGGCATGTTGTGGTGAGATATAAGCTCCAAAGGGTTGGGGGCAGCCCCACACTTAGGTCTTTGCTGGTTGCATTCACCTGGCTTCTCTTTGGATTGCTCAAGTCACTGCCTGCAACTTTCCTAGAAGATGTTTAATGTCTTAGCGTCTCCAACTTCCTGGAGTTTCCACTGTAATTTTGATTTGACTCTCATAGCATTGCCCTATCATGGATTTCTGGAAGAAATTGTGACCTTGTCATATCTTTTGCCTGGCCTCCCAGGGCTTCTGAAATATGAGTAAAAGCCTCTGTGACTTGATAATTCTTGCATTCAGCATGCTTGAAAAAAAGCCTTCCATGGATGATCCTAACATGGACAACAGTTTGAACGGTACTGGGGCCACTATGGACCATGGCTGCAGCAGCCTCTGAAAGCCTGGATGACTGAGTTGGGGATGCTCTTCCCTAAATACCCCTAAATGAGCAGGAGTTTCAGGAATTCTCAAATGAAATTTTAGCTTTATATCCTGGAGCTCACAATGGGTGGGATCTTGCTCAATGAGATACCCTCAAGGCACCTTTTCTATTGTACTTAGGTTCTCTTTAATGCTAATCTTTCAAGACACCCCACTGTTCTTTGCCCTAGCTTCACAGGCACTCCTGTGTGGCCATACTTCACATCATTCAGCTCTGACTTCTGCTCCTGATTCTCAGTTTATATCCAAATGGATTCAGCAGCACCCCAGCCACAGCTGGAATATCAGACTGCTTTGCAACTTCCTCCACCAGGTTAATTAGTCCACTACCTTTAAATTCAGTCTCATACAATAGCTTAGGACTTGAACAAGTCTTAGGACTTGAACTTTCACTGGCTGTGGGGAGCACAGCTGAAGCTGCAGATCACATGTGTGGGTTGGAGCAAGACGAAGCTCAAGAACACAGAGCCTGAGGCAAGTCGCATGAGTAAGCTCTTAGGTGGAGGGGTTTCATGGCCCTCAGCCTCCCAAGTGTGTAAGTACATGTGCTGCAGCCATTGGACCCTCCGCCCTCTTTTTCTTCCTTCTCCTCCTCCTTCTTCCTTCTTTGCCTGTCAGGAGAGAGGGCTCCATCTGGCCTCAGTTTTCTATATTTTGACTCCTGTACTTTTTCTCTATCCTCTCACCATCCTCACCCTGGGAACCTCAAGAACTGCATGAGCCATGGCAGCTGGAAATTTAAAGGAGAAAAAATATTGGTTCACAGTTTGTTTGTTTGTAATGTGTGACCATTTTGATGATTTGTTGCACTGTTAGCCAGTGTCTTGTTGGTGATTTTTGTGTCTATGTTCCTTAAAGAAATTGGCCTGAATTTTCTTTTCTGTGGCTTCCTTGTCTGGTTTTGGAATCAAGGTAATGCTGGCTTCCAGGAATGAGTTTGGAAGTTCTCCTCCCCTTTCAATTTCATTAGCATTTGATGAGCATTGGCATGATATCCTTAAAGTTCTCATGAGTTCAACAGTGAATCCATCAGGTGCTGGGCTTTTATTGGTAGTTTTGGCTTCGATGTCATTATATTTTTAAAATATTTTGTATCTTCTTGGTTCAGTTTTTATAATTTATATATGTCTAGGATTCTGTCTATTTCTTCAAGATGCTCCAAATTGGACTATAAATTCTCAGAGGAGCTACTAATGGTCTCCTGGATTTTGGTAGTATTTGTTGTGATTTCATCCTTTTCATCACATCAATACAGGTTTTTTCTTTCCTTTGGTAAGTTTGGGGAAAAATTTGTGTTGTTTATTCTCTTAAAGAACCAACATTTTGACCCATTGATTCTATATTACAGTCTAAATTTTATTAACTTCCACTTTGATCTTTATGATTCTGTTCCTTGTACTAGCTAGGCCAATCTGAACTACATAGCAAGAACCTATCTCAAAAAAACTAAACAAAACAAAATAGTATTTCTTCACCTTGGATTCCTTCATTCTCTTACATGAAGCAAAGAAGTCATTCTAACGTGAATATTTTTCTCCTGACTATGGAGTATCCATTATATACTTAATACTGTTCAGCATATTTATTTGATACAAATGTCAAAACAACCACATGGTTTATAAAATCTTATCAATATTCATCTAAATAAACAGCTGTGTGATTGCATTAAATTATATAATGCTTCACTCAAAATGAAAGGAACAGTAAAGGTAAAAGTGATACAAAACTCTTCTCTTTGAGAGGGAGATAATGGAGTATGCCAAATAAAATATATATATTAATATATGTAGTTATTATGAAATTGTTTTCTAATTAATTTTGGAGCAAAAGCCTAGTGAAAAATCACAAGCAACTATCTTAAAAAACACAAAGTATTTCTTTTTAAGTCTATATGTGAGTTTAACCAAGAGCATTTTAATATCTTAATAAACTCTATTGCTTTATTTTTAATGTTTTTGAGTACAAGTTTGCTGCACATAATGATTTACATTCATTGTGGGAAGTTGGTAACGTACATAACATATCCTAATTACTTTTACTTTCCCTTAGCCTCCTTCCCCCCATTTCTAATTCCCTTTCACTTTTGCAGAGGATTTATCAGCCTATTCCATAATATGTATCTTTTAATTAGCTCATATTATTTTATATCTTGGGTTTCTCATATAAGAGAAACCATGCAATATTTTAGCTTGTGTGTCTGATTGATTTTATTTCACATTATTTTCTCAATGTGCATCCATTTTCCTACAAATAACTAACATCTTTTATGGCAAAATAGTACTCCATTGGGTATCAATAGCTATTCATCTGTTGTTGGACATATTTCAAGACTTAATTATCATAAATTGTACTGCTATAAACATAGGTATACATGTGTCATTGAAACATAATTTCTTAAACTTTGTTAGTTATGTACCTAGAAAGGGAATATCTGGGTGTAGTGAATTTTCTATTCTTAGTTTTTTGAGGAACCACAATACTGATTTCTATAATTCTTTTATGTACTAGTTTGCATTCCCACCAGCAAGGTACAAGGATACTTTTTACCCTGTAGCCTGTGGTATTTGTTATTGAGTTCTTGATGATGGCAATTCTTTCTGGGGTAAGATGGAGTCTCTGTGCTGTTTTAATTTGTGTTTCTCAATGGCTAGAGATGCTGAGCATTTTTGTATATTTATTGACCGTTTTTATTTCTTCTTGAAACTCTGTAGCTAAAAGCCAGAATTAATTGTGATGGTTCATGTAAGTGTGGGTTTAGACAGGGGCTTAGGTTGGTCCTCATGGTATGTCCTCTTGGACTTGGGAGGTTAACCACAAGGTTAACCACGGCTTGCTCTTCCAGTGTCCACAGAGGTACAGAAGCTATGGTAAAAGAATTCCCATCACTTCATTAATTCTTCTTATACTGTTACATATTTTTATTTTGTAAACTATTTACCTAGTGCCTTATCCCTGCTAGTCTACATTACAGCATTTAACAAGATAGACAAGGTATCTTCTGAGGATTTCGCATTCTAGTTAAGGAAGACATACAGAAATACAATGGATTTGAAAAAAGGAAAAATATACCCTCAATAAGCAAATTTTTAAAATGAGAACTCCAATTAGCAGTAAACGCTCTGAAGACGATCTCAGAGGCAGGGGACACAGGGTGAGGGGCGCTACACTATATGAAAGAGCAAGGAGGGCCTACTTCTTGCGATCTCTGTCCTTCTTTGTATTGGTGCATGTCTGAGTCTGCAGCGTTTCACAGGTAGCCTTTACTTTACAAAACTCTATTATTTCTTCCTCCAGTTGTCGTCTCTCTTCTTCAAGCTTTGTCAGCTCCTCTTGTTGAATCTTTTTAAGATGCTCAAACTTGTCCTGTAGCTATTAGAAAACGCGGAGTTATGGCCCAAAACAGTGAAGCAGAAAACATGAAAGAATATCCTTGTCTTTTTCTTGATATCAAACAATCTAAAAATTTCTAGTTAAGTGCTCAGATAGGAAATTCTCTTGATTTAAAAACTGAATGTGTTCTCATTGAACAAAACATCACACAGATATGAGCAAAACACAATTTTCCAAAAAAAAAAAAAAAGTCCCTTTTTCCTAAGGAGATCAGTCTTCTCATTCAACATTTTTCCTACCAATTCCCTTTGAACAAAGTTTTGTGAGTCCATGATCATTCAAATGCACACATTCGAGGCAGGCAAGGTGGCTGAAAAGGGGCATCCAGCATTTACCTGCTCTTCCACAAAGAAGAACAGAAACAACAGGTATGCAGCTGCACCCTGATGTGAAGGACACTGGAATTGAAAAGTAGGATAATAGAGACCTTGTAAAACTCCAGATTCCTGGAACAGTAGCACAGCAAGAGAGCCAAGACATCCCATTACTTGCCAACCTGACTTCTCAGCTGGGGAAGAGGCAGTCTCTCCTCTTCAGGGCTAAAGAAAACCTCAGCAAAACCTACCAGTATGGACACTGACAACCCCACCGATTGGAAAGTTGCCTTGGCTTTGCAGGTTTGTAGCCTACATAGAAAACAGGCATAAAACATGCATAGTACTCTGACTATGGAATAGGAATCTACCTCTCCTCTAGTATGCCGTTCCTGGAAGACACCTTGACAAGGGACCCATTTTCTGAATTTCGATGCTTTTGAGGTAGAAAAGCCTGTGTATTCCCACCTCTGGGACCCAGCAGATGTTCCGCAGCACTGGCTCAGCCAAGGCTCCCTCATGAACCGGATCTGGCTCAGTGGAATGACTGGGAGAGAACCAAGCTGAAAGCGCTGCACAGTGGGGAGCGGGTGCTGCAAAGTGGGTGGCAGGGGAGGGTGCCGTCCACAAAAACTGTGCGGCCAAGGAACCTGATCTCTGAGTCTGGGGATGTGGCCAGTGGGTGTGGTTTCACGTGGGTGCCAGGGCTGAGAGCTGTTGCCTGTGCCACTCTCAGGACCCCTCTCCCAGTGCCATGCACAGGGCCTGTCACTAGCACAGCACAAGAGGAACTCTTAGTTTCTGCCACTGTCCTAACCCACTGGGGGAACCACTCAGACTGCTTCAAAGCTCAGGGGCACCTTAGGAAACCTGAGGCCATGACTCCGTTGTCTAGCACAAGCACAAAGTGGGATATAGTTGTGTAACCACGACTTGGCAGTGGACAATTATGCATGCACCAAAGAAGTTAGCATGTAAGAATGTAAATACGAGGTAACAACCTGTGTAAGAATGTACACTAAACATGCAGGTGGCTCTTGTGCTCTTGCACCCCTGTATTATACCTGAGTACTACAACACAGAAAATCAGGGGGAGAAGAGCCTCTGGCTTCCACCCCATCTCTAGGCATACAGAATGAGGACAGACCCAAGGTCCTGCCCCTGGACAGGGACATCCACATAGCAAAAGAAAGAAGTGAGGAATAACATGACCTTTTCTGCCTGCACACTGATGTGAGTCTACTGTACCAGTCATACCCATACCTTAACTGAAGACACGTTACTGATAAGATGTGACTTCAGTTTCACAGAGTAAAAATGGCTCTTCCAGTCCCAACCTCTCTCCTGTAGCACCAGTTCCTAATCAGTGCCTAACCAGAGCACAGGTGCTTCTGGTCCCTCATCACTACAGGAGCAACCGATAGTAGAGTCCCATTTAAGTAGGAGAGCCAGTATCAATAGTGGCAGAAGAAATGCCTGCCACCCAATAGTTGCACCACACCTCTCTCACTTCCTTGGTTAGGTTAATTTCTATTTAATTTTTCTTGATGCTATTTTGAATGGTATTTACTACTTTATTTTTCAGTGGGTTCTTTGTTACTGTACACAAGTGCTATTGATTTTTTGTGTTAATTTTATATTCTATATTTCTGAATTTGGTTATTAATTCTAAAAGCCTATTGGTGGATTTTTTTGGGGTCTTCTCTGTGGAGGATCATGTTATCTGCAAATAATGATAATTTGACTTCTTTCCTTCCTACATATTTTTTTGGGGGGTACTGGGGATTGAACTCATAATCTCATGCTTGCCAGGCAGGTGCTTATGCCACTGAGCTAAATCCACATTCCCTTCCTTTATATATATATATATATATATATATATATATATATATATATTCTTGTTTAATTTTTCTTAGTAAGGTTTCCAGTATTATATTGAACAAGAGTGATGATAGATGACATCCTTGTCTTATTCTTGATTTTATAGGGAAAGCTTTAAGTTTTTCCCATTTAAGATGATATTGACAGTAGCTTTTGTGATAAAGCTTAATCATATTGAGATAAAGTCCTTCTATGTCTATTTTCTTTAGTGTTTTTATGAAAAGATGTTGGATTTTGTCAAAGGCTTTTTCTGCATCTATGGAGACCATATAAATTTTGCCTTTGCTTTTGTTTATATGATATATTACAGTTATCGATTAGCATATATTGAACCATTCTTGTGTTTGTGGAATGATGCCTACTTGGCCATGATGTATGATATTTTTGATAATTCCTTGAGTTGTATTTACCAATATTTTGTTGAGGATTTTGTTTTGTTTTGTTTTGTTTTGTTGGCATCATTGATCAAACTCACATTTGCCAGCCAGGCACTTATACCACTGAGCTAAATTCTCAGCCCTTGCTGAGGATTTTTGCATCTATATTCATTAAAGATACTGGTCTATAGTTCTCTTTTTTGGTTAGATGCTTGTTGGAGTTTGGAATCAGGGGGTAATTCTAGCTTCTAGGAATGGCTTTGAGAATATAGCTTCCAATTTCATTAAAAAGCTTGAGTATGGGTGTTAGAACTTTATGTAGAAAGAGTATCGAATCCATCTGGACCTGGCCTTTTCTTAGTTGGCTATTTATTACTGCTTCAGTGTTATTGACTGTTATGGATTATTCAAGGTCTTTAAATCTTCTTGGTTCAATGTTGGTAATACATATGTATGTAGGAATCTATCCATTTCTTCTGAATTCTACAATTTACTGTCATACAGGATTTGTGAAGTACTTGTTAATGATGTTCTTTTTAATTTCAGCAGTGCCCACTGTGATTTCATTTTTTTCATTTCTAATTGTGTTGGTTTGAGGTTTTTTACCCCTTCTTTTGGTTAGATTTGCTATAGGTCTATTTTGTTTATTCTTTGAAAGAACCAACTATTTGACTCATTCAAACTTTGTGTTTATTTTTGGTCTTAATTTAATTGATTTCTGTTCTTGTGTTTAGAATTTCCATCCTTGTACTAATCTTGGGTTTGGATTGTTTTTGTTTATCTAGGCCTTGAGTGCAATGTTAGGTTATTTATTTAGATTCATTCTGTCTTTGTGATGTGGGCATTTACACCCATAAACTCGAGTCTTAGGACTACTGTCACTGTCACATAAGTTCTAGAATGTTGTACTGGCATTATCATTTAATTCTAGAAACTGTGTTATTTCTTCCACAACCTATTGGTTAGTTAAGAGTGTACTGTTTAGTTTGCATAATTTTTGTGGGTTTTTGTCATTGATTTCTAACTTCATTGTGCTGTAATATGATAATATGCTCCATACAATTTCAATTCTTTTTACATTTAAGTAAGCTTGCTTTATTGGTAAGTGTGTGGTCTATTTTGGTGAAAGTTCCACATGCTGCTGAAAACTGTGTACTCTACTGTTGGGTGGAATTCTCTGTATATATCTATTAAGCCCTCTTGTTTGAAGGTTTTGTTTCACTCATATTTCATGGTTGATTTTTTGTCTAGTTGATCTGTCTATTTATAATAGTGGGATATTGAAAACCTCCTCTGTAACTGTGTTTATATTTATCTGATCTTTTATATTCAGTAGTACTTGTTCTATAAAGTTGAGTGTATCACTGTTTGGTGCATATATATTAATAATTCTTATGTCTTCCTGTTGGATTGTTCTCCTACACAGTAAGTAGTGACTTTATTTGCCTCTTTTGATCAGTGGTTTGAAGTTCACTTTGTCTGAACACAGGATAACTTGTATTTACTTTTTTGGAAGAGTTCCTATTGTTCTCTATCCTCTGGTTCTTATGCCATGAGTTCGTTTTTGGGTTAAATGTGTTTCTTTTCTACAGTATACAATTAGATTTGGTTTCTTGATCCATTCTGCCTGTCTGCATCTTTTGATTGGGGAACTAAAACCACACCCATTGGAAGTTATCACTGATAGTTATTGGCTTAGTCCTGTCATTGTCTTATTTTCCTGTTGCTGATTCCCTGGCTTTACCATCTATCTACCTGTTAACCATGTTGGGGAGAGAATGACAATATGGCTAAACAGCTATTTACTAAAGAAATTAATATTTATAAAAAGATGGCAGAGTGTCCATCAAAATAATAGGAGAATGACCCTGAAAGTACTTCACAGATATGCAAAGCAAGCAAGGACACCGAAAGCAAGGTTGCCTGAGAGGGAGAGATGTTCTCTAGGGAACTCAGCATTTGCTGTTCTTCCCCACGTTAGGACTCGACTCCACGAAATGCAGATCAGTACCTCTCTGTAACTCTAGTCTTTATTCAAGTGAGCCCAGCGGGGCTCAACCTGATGATCTGGAAGGTATGAGTCATAAATCTTAGCAGCATCCGTGGTATGCACGCTGGCAGAGCTATGGGCTATGAGGTCTCCCCCTAGATTTCAGAGACTATCAGGTCTGAGGACACAAGGAGATACTTCTTAGAGGAACACAGCCACCGCAGAGAGTCCCCAGGAGCAATCCTTTATAACTGAGGCCACTACAAAGAGTCCTCAACAGAGAGGTGCCTTTAGGAGCCACGGTTAGGGGACAACACGCAAGACTGCAGAACTGTAGAGTTCCCAGCACGCAGCTCAATCCTGGGAAGGCCTGGGCCCCGGATCTCAGTGAGCTGCTGGTGAACTGAGCCCAGCAGAATCCGCGGCACGGTGCTGAGGCCTTACGTGTCCGGCTTCTTGCCGCAGTATGTCAGAGCTGTGGAACATTTTAAGCAGCAAGTCAAAAAAAAAAAAAAAAAAAAAAGCGTGCTCTAGAAAAACTAAAATTACAAGGTATAATTCTATAAAGGCCACACTCAGATTTTTCATGGTGAATTACTACCTTTGAAGAATAGTAAATTTCTTCTGAAAGCATCCACTAACACCTTGGGATTCCTCCCAATAGGATGTATAAAAATAAACACAAATTGTCGTCAAACTGCCAGCACTTGCCTCTTTTTCAGCATCTTTGAAAGCTGTTTCTCGGTCCTTTACTTGCTGCATAAACCTTTTTTTCAGCTCTTCTTCCTCCTTCTGACATTGATCATGGAACTCTAGTCTTTTGGCTTCATATATCTCTTGAAAACTACAAAAAAGAGTTTCCATTAGTTTCCACTCTCCTATTAAAATACTGACATAGATGAACATGTACACATGTTTATATTGCAGGTTCCACAAAATGACATTTACAAATATTCTGTTGTGTATATCAGTACAAAACGGAAATTTCATTATCATGGGATATACAAATTATAACACAATATTAATATAAAAGTAAATTAGATCATAAATCAAAACAGTAGAAATTCAAAATACTTGTATCAGTGATTTCTTATACCTCTGTTTTACATTACCTCATACTTCTTCACATCTTTTTTTTTTTTTTTTGTCTTTTTCATTTTTATCGGTACCAGGGATCGAACTCACAACTGCCTGCTTACAAAGCAGGCGCTTATGCCGCTGAGCTAAATCCCCAGCCCTTTCTTCACATCTTTTACAACAAAATTTGAGGAAACCTCCAAGATCTGATGGTGATTTTAAAATAGTTCAAATAATGCAAAACACTTAATAATTTACTTAAGTAGTTCAACTATGGTTGTACTCAAAGAATTACAGTAAATATAGCTGAATTGTACTTCTATAGTGCTACGCCTAATTTTTCAGTATAAATACTGTTCTTCTCCAATATATCTAAAAGCCTCTGCTCATAAAACATGACTTCCAGCAAAGTATATTGCAAATTTTCAAGTCTTTCTTCCATCAAACTCTTCTCAGTTTCTTTTGACAATTTTTTTGTCAGTCTTTGCTAATACCTGGCAATTTCATCCTTTGAGCATCTGCTTTGCATAAATACAAAAATTTAAGTAAAATGATATTTTTGAATGTGCATTTCAATATATGACATAAATATGGATTTTTGAGCTTTATTCCTACTGTTTTCATCTAGGTCTGAAGATGATTTAAAAACCTGTAATTCAGAGTGGTGTAGGACGAAAGAAGTCCAGTTATTCTCACTGCCAAATGATGATACCTTGTGGCTTTAGGGGCCTTCTAAATGACCTATTTAGTGGTAATAGAAATTTCTATACTTACCTGACAGGCTGGTTGTCTGGGCCCACGTCAGTGAAACCCATTTTCTGCAGTTTGCTGTACCTGTAACATTCATAGTGACGAACGTGGGTTTCTTCCTTCAGGTCTTCCATGTTGGTACAAAGAAGCATATCCCGGAGCTTCACAAAGTCACAGTGATTTTCATTTTCCACTAAGTACAGAAATAAAATCCAAAGTGCTTTCAATTGCTGACAGTCAATAAGCACTCTTAAGTAAAAGCATTGATGAAATGCATTTAAAATAATATGCAAGAAATCGATCTGAGTAACAGCTGTAACTCCAGATTCTCCAAGAAATTGCTGGCAACATTTTTTCCTGTTTACTCTGCTGCTTGGTTATCCCTTCAATCTGTTGGTTGTTTCCATCTCTGTGCTGAAGCTTTTTAATTTGATATGATCCCATTTGTGGATTACGGGTGTTTCAATTAAAAACAAGATTTAGAAACAAATATAGGTAGAAGTATTTCATTTCTCAATAATGTTTACTACAATAAACCTCCATACAATATTCTACATCACAATATTCTAACTCACCATGGTGTTAAGTAGCTAATACAAACATCAAAAGTGTAATATAGCCAGATGTCAATTGTACCTCTTTGTTTTGAAAACTAATTTAACATTTTTACTGAAATGCTTTAAATTTTTACCTAAAATGCTTTATAAGTTAGATGGTGGTTTAGGGTGCTCATGTGAACACTAGTACTAGTACTGTGGGTTTGTTCATGACATTGTCATTCTTCATGACATAGTTCATGCAGGGATGAAATGCATGAACAAGGGAGTCCTGCTCAGTTTCTGCATATTTTGGTCTAAAGCATTATCTGCAAATTTCTGTGAGCCTGGATCAAAGTCAAAGGAAGTATTATCTTTAATGAAATTAACCTTTAGTCCTCATTAGTAGCTATTAATTTATAGGTTAACAGGAGTTGCCAACAGTGGCTGAAGTTTAAGTGCCATTTTGAGACAGTAGCTGATATATATTGTGTATTTGACTTAATTCTCCAAGAATCTGCTTGTTCATATTTACCTTGCAAAACTCCCCAAGGGTAGTGGCGGCCTCTGACCATCCTTTTTCCAACTTTCACCTCGTCTGTACTCCCTACCACAGCAAAAGGTAACATTCCCTAGAAAATAAGAGTGACTTAAACTGAATTTCCTCATAACGATCAGTCAGAGATAGGAATGTCATAATAAATTTAACCAAACAACATATCTACCCTGCATCTGGCTCTAATACTTAAAAGAAAAGATACGGTAAATGACTTCTGTGAGCATTTGTTTCATGCTGTGGGCACAACTGAAAACTATTTATTAATGACTAAAGCAAGAATTTATGCTGTGTGTAACACACACAAAAAATTTTTCTCAAACTATTTTTACCTTGGACACAGGCCTTGCTGGGGGAGTAATACTAAAAGTACCATTTAAAGCTAATATAGAAGGCTATAATCCCAGCACTAAGGAGGCTGAGGCAGGAGGATCACTCAGAGTTTGAGGCCAGTCTCAGCTACGAAGTGAGCTCAAGGTCAGCCTGAACTACACAGTGAAACCCTGACTCAAAAAGACAAAAATAAATACAAACATTAATTTTTCTAGGCAAAAAAAGACAAAAAAAGATAATATAGAAACTATAAGACCAATATATTAAAATAACTGAAATCATAAAAATGTATTAATATATTAAATATAATACATGCATATCACATGTACATATGTATATATTGTATTTTATTTATGTATTGTATTTAATATATTAATATATCAAAATATAATATATTGAAATTATAATATCAATATAATTCATTAATTGATACGCAATATAAAATATATGAATATGTATATCCCAATCAATTCTAAATATAGTTTAGAGCACACAGGGCTACTTATGAGCTTAAGAGTCAGAGGATTCTGAAAAGTGAAATGTAATCCACAGGATAGCTACAAGGACAACAAGCAGAATAAGCAGGGCAGCCAAAGCTAAGAAGGTTTCTGGACCACGTGCAAGGGCGAAAATGTCCAGCATAGATCTGTGGCCTGTCGGAAGTTGTAAAGTGACTAACACAGTGTGTATGAGTAGGAATTTTCACACAGTGAAAATGCCTAAGGTTAAAATGATTCACAATTGTGTTAAATACTTAATATTTAACTGTTAACTGGCCATGCTGAAAAATTATTCCATAAAAAAGATTCCCTATATTTGTGCTCCTAGAGATACAATTTTCAAGACGTGAGATAAAGGTGGCCACAATTTTCAAAACATGGAAACTAAGACAATCAGTAAGAAAAACTTTGGAAATGAAACCATTTGCTTTTGAGAAACTAATAGACCAATGAAGAAGTCTAGAAGGGGATTTTAAAGTTTCTTGAAACAAATGAAAATGTCCCAGACCTATGGGATAGCAGCAAAAAGAATACTAAGGGAAAAATGAAAGCAATCAAAAACCCCATTAAGCCAGGTGTGGTGGCACAAACCTATGATCCTAGCACTCGAGAAGCTGGGGCAGGAGAGGCCACAAGTTCAAAGCCAGCCTGGGCTACATAATAAGCTCAAAGCCAGCCTGGACTACTTAGTAAGATCCTGTCTCCAGGGGCTGGAGATTTAGCTCAGTGGCATAAGCGCCTACCTTGCAAGCAGGAAGTCGTGAGTTCGATCCCCGGTACCGATTTAAAAAAAAAGGAAAAAAAGACCAAAAAAAAAAAGATCCTGTCTCCAAAAACATAACCCCAACACAAAACAAAACCAAAAACTAACCACATTTCATTGTAAAAACATCTCAGATAAACAAACTATACCTCAAGGAACTAGGTAAAAAACAAACTAAATTAGTAGACTAAAATAATTAATGAAAATAAGAATATAGGTAAAATGGAGACTAAAAATCAGAAGGTCATTGAAAGACCAGATTGTTTGAACAGAAAATAAAAATAAATCACAACCCAGACAAAGAGAGAGGAAATCAAATAAAACCAGAGATTAAAGGGGGCGAGATTATAACTGATATTACAGATCACTATAGATTATTGTGAAGAACTAGTGGATAATTTCCTAAACATTATGCCTCACTAATTATTGAAATATGAAAAAGTAGAAAACATAAAAAAAAAAACCAAAGAGATCAGTAAGAGTGAAAATATTGAATCAGATATAAAAAGTCTCACATTAAAGGTAAGACCAAAACAAGGCGATTTTATTGCAAAATTCTGGGAGGTCGGCCAGTGTCTCCCTGAGAGCTCAGTGTGGAAAGTCGTGTGTGTGACGCTGCAGGTGCAGTGGAGACCCCAGGAGTTTGGAGAAGCCAGGGACATGGATCATCTGAAGAAAACCGCAAGGGGTGAGCAAAGCTGGCCCAAAGGGAGCCATGAGAGCTACGAGCACTGGCCTTGCCGTAGGAGTGGAGCCACTCAAGCACCTTAGAGTTCACATTTTAACACAGATTGCAGCAGACACTGGACGTGGAGCTACAGGATTTAACGTTTGTCTTCCTGAATTTTGATTTGCTTTCATCCCATTCCTTTCTGTTGCCCTATCTGAACTTCTTGGGATGGCAATATTTATCTCATGCCATTGTATGCTAGAAGTGTGTAACTTTTTTTTTACATTTGTACAGGGGTTCGTGGGTAAGAGTTTGCCTTAAATCTCAGAGGACACTTTGGATTTAAACTTTTCAACAGTGCTGAAACTTTTAGGACTTGGGCAACTCTTAGAGATAGCCTAAATGACGTTTGCATAAAGGAATGTATGTGAGTCTTTTGGCCGGCAAATCTGGGCAGAGTTGGGCAGGACACTATGACTTGTGTTTAGATGACCTCCCCACCCCCCACCTCCCAAGCCTCATGTGCTCATAGGTGGGGCTTTTCAGTGCTGGCTGATCTAGAGTGTGTGATACTGGGGTTAAAGGTGTATGATACTAAATTAGTCCACTGATTAGAACTGGCATAGTTCTGGGTGTGGCTGAATGGATCTACTGAAGGGGTAGCAAACTACTTGTAGTTTGGATGGGAAAAAAGGAAATGCAGGCTCGCTTTACTGCCTATTGCTTGCCACCTGCAGCTTCCTGTCTGCTCTGCCATGGACTGTTTTGCCTTTGTGATGCTCCCTCCCTGCCTTGGAGCGAGCTGACTACGGACTGAAAACCTGTACAAACTGCTAAAATGAATCTCTCCTCCTTCCACTTGTGGGTGTCAGATATTTTGCCTCTTCAAGGCAGAAAGTAAGAAGACATCCATGATGAAGATAGACCCAAAAGTCCTCAACAAAATAGTACTACATGAAATCAAAAGCACATTCGCAATGTTGTTCACCATGACCAAATGGGATTCATCCCAGGGATGCAAAGGCAGATCCACATACACAAATCAATGACCGTGATACACCGTGTCAATAGAATAAATGAAAAACAGTCAGTCATCTCAATTGATACAGAAAAGACATTTCAAAACATTCAACATGCTTCTTCGTCAAAAATGATTAATAAATTAGGCATATGAGGAACATACCTCAATGTCGTAAAGAACATTTATCATAAGCCCACACCTGACATTAAGTAGGAAAAACTGAAAGAATTTTAAAATCTGGAACGAGACAAAGGTGATCACTTTTACCACTTTATTAAATATAGCTGTGGAAATCCTTGCCAGGGCTCTTAGGCAGCAAAAAGGATTAAAGGCCATTCAAACTGGAAAAGAAGTCATCAAATACCATACCCAAATCTATATGGCAGACTTCCGGGAGAACATGGCGGACAGATAACAGCAACTACCGGAGGCTCTCTGAAAGACTCGGCTCAGAAGCCAGGAATGGTGCGGACTAAGGAGACATAAGCAGGTAGAGATATGCTCCGCTGACTCAGGAACGAACTGGGCTGAGAGAAACCAACTTGGAATGCAGTCCTGGTGCTAAAACAGGAACAGAAAAGTCTCGGTGTGGAGGCTGGACCCTGCGCCATTGTAATCCGCGATTTGGGTTTCCAGCCGCGTGGCGGCTGGCTGCCTCTACAGTGGCTCGGCAAGGAGAGAGACGTGCAGAAGCTCTGAGAATGGCAATCTGCGAACGGCAGGGAGGCGTGCACTGACTTGTGGTGAGGTGAGTGAGAGAAGCTGACACTCTACCACAGTTTGACTCCAGCGGAGGACTTTCTGGGTCTGAGCAGTCCTGCGGGAGCAGGGCGCGGTGGCGACTCCAGCCACACATCCCCCTCTCGGGCGGGATTGGTGAAAAGTGCCTGGCCTGCGTGACGCTGCCTCCGGACCTGGTAGACTGTCCCAACTCAGATCCCAGAGCCTGACGGTGGCCGGGAGGGGAGACGCGTAGGCTGCCTGGTCCGTAACTCCCTGGTGCGCAGCGGTGAGCGGGAACACCTAACTGGCGCAATTCGATCAGGCTGTGGCTGACTGGGAGAGAAGCTGGGCCTCTTATATAAGCTTGCATATATAAGGAACAGAGAAGAAGAGGCAGCATGGGAAGAGGCAGCAACAAGAAAGGCTCCTCGGCCCCCAATTCTGAGAAACAGGCAATAGCAGACACCGCACCAATATACATAAGGCACCATATAGAGAGCCTCATAGACCAATTCAGGAATGAAGTTATCAACGACCTGAAGCTAGAAGTATGCAGAATAGTTAGAGAAATGCTAAGTACCACCCAAGAAAAAACAGGCGGTGGAATGGAAGAACAGAAAAAAAGGGGAGAATTGTTTGATGGAGAAAACAGAGAAAGCATAGAATACGTGAAACAGGTTCAAAGGGACTACCAAGATACTAAGAAGTCTATCGAAGACTGGCATAACAGCTTGAAAGAAACTAAGGACAGACTATCTGAACTGGAGGGCAGACTTGTAATATGGGAGAATGAAATGAAAAACTTCTTAAAAATAACAAAGAAACAAACAGCAATAATACAAAGACAAGAAGATGATAAGAGGATCCATAACCTAAGGATTAAGAACATAAAAGAAGAAGTAGGGACACAAACAAGTGAACTACAAAAGCTACTCACAGAAATAATCCAGGAGAATTTTCCTAATTTAGCAAAAGGTAAAGATACTCAGATGTATGAGGCATACAGGACCCCAGCTACCTACAACCCAAACAGAGCAACACCCAGGCATATAATAATAAAAGTTCCAGAAATTCAATACAAGAACAGAATATTAAAAGCTGTAAGGGACAAGAAACAGACCACTTTCAAGGGAACACCCATCAGAATTACAGCAGATTTCTCTGCACAAACCATCAAATCACGAAGAGCGTGGGGGGAAATAATTCAAGCTTTGAAAGATAATAATCTCCAGCCAAGATTGAGATATCCTGCACAACTGTCCCTGGAAATTGATGGAAAAACAAGGTGCTTCCAGGATAAAGAGGAACTGGGCGAATTTGCAACCACCAATTCAACTCTACAGAGAGTATTGCAGGATATTCTAAAAAAAGAAAAATACAAAGAATCCAGAAATAATGGCAGAGAGGCCACAACGAATGGAGCAGAGAACAAAATGAAGAAGACAAACTGACAGCTACTGACAGAAAAAGAGCTCAACAGAAATGAGGCAGAGAAGATTGGATGATAGGAGAAAATGACATCTTAATAGGTAATACTGATTTAGTATCATCTTGTTTTGAAGTCTCATCTAGCTTTTGTCCTTCTGTCTCCAATGGTCTAAATAGGTTGTATCTTACTGGATTTTATTATGTATGATAGTATAAGCAAAAACCTTGTAAAGACAAGGAGATTATACAGAAACCATTATTCATTTTCTGTTAGTCGATTCTAAATACTCTGTAATGCTGTCATTCTCTTGAATGGTTTTACATTGTTTTGATATACTTAATGCTACAGTATACGAAGTTGTACTCAAGGATTTCAAAGAAAGAGACAATATGGTAACTACTTTTAGGTTAGGATTATCTGGTGGTGAAACACTATTCTGCTTAAATGGTTATGTTTTGATCTGTGCTGTTTCATTGTTATGCCCTCTTTTATCTCAATCTCCACTCCATTATTTACTTTTTTATCTTTATCCTTTTAATTAAAGGAAAAAAATAGCAGGATATATTATAGTAACCCACTTTGACTTTTCATTACCTTGATTTAAAGCCCTGTATTACTCTCACCATCTGGTTTTTAACTGATGTTCCCCTATTCTGTTTTGCTGGATAGTATCAGGTTCGAAAGTTTAGGCATCAGCTGTGAAGATAATGAGATTCATTATGACGCCCATTTTTGTTGACTTTTATCTACTTTTGAAGACCTACAATGTCTCCAATGTTTTGGTTTTGTCGGTTTTATTCTTTACTGTTTTGTTCAATTGTATTATAACTAACAATATAGGCAATTCTATTAGAGATAGCGGGAGGCATTATAGTAACCATTGTTGATCACCTTGTATTATGTTTTTACATTATCTATTATGTCCACCCTTTTGACTTGACCAATTCTGTTCTGTCACATTTGGTTTTACTCTCTTCCAAAAAAGTAATAAGAACAGTGGGAGCAATGAAACCCAAAATGTGTAATAGTCATGGTACAAAAGAGAGGAAAAGAAAGTGCTCCAAACTATATAACTGCATGTATATTTAAGTGTATAAGATAGAAAATGATATCACAGAGTTTTATTGGATCAATGAACAGAACTGTTTGCAGTATCATTGATGGAATGTCCACTTTACAAGCTTTAATTTTGTGACTTGAACAAGTATTTCTAAGATGACAATATGTAATCCATTAACTAGTGATTTCCTACTGTTCATTTTTTTCTGTAAATCTGTATAACTTGTACCCTTTCCCTGCTTTTTTTTTCTTTTCTCCTTAAATAAAATTAAAAAAAAAAAAAGACTCAAATCTATATGGCAACATTTTTCGTAACACCCAAAATGCAGAATAACAGCTAGATCAGTTAATTAGTGATCAATAAAACATGATAAATTCACAGGGTAATATTTGGCCACAAAGAGGAACAAAGGTCAGTTATATGCTAAAAGATAGGTAAACTCTGAAACCAGAATCCCACGTGAAAGAAGACAGATGCAGAACATTATGCACATTATTAAACTCATTAAAGTATCTGGAGGGAGGACGCTGCAGACAGACACAGAATGTAAGGTAATGGTTGCTCAGAACTCAGGAGAGGACAGGGCGTGGCTGGTCAGCAAGAGAAGCGCTAAAGGACAAGGGACTTCTATTTGAAGCAAGGAAAGTACTCTAAAATTTCAAAGGGGGTCGCCCATATCTGTGAGTGCACTAAAAATCATAGAATTGAATACTTTAAATGAGTGAACAGCGAGGTCTGCGAACCAAATCTAAACAAAGCTGTTTTTAAAGACTTGATTCTTGGCAAACATTTTCAAAATCAAAAAAATAAAAATTTTCCCTCACTGGATTTTTTGGGGAAATACGTTGTTTATTGACTCATTTTTCAGATACAGATAACACCATATTACTAACACTCTAACTTACAAACTGTGTTTCATTTACACATGAAACAACATTCATCAATTAGGAAGCTCACGTTCAGTAAGGAGTTTGAGGGAGTGGTGGTTTCATCGTCGTTTGGGAACTGATAAATCTGGATGCCATTGCTGATCAATTCACTCATTATCTTATTCTTGAACTTCTGTAAATCATTTTTAGAAACCGTGTCTGCTTTGGCAATTAGTGGTATAATGTTCACCTGTTAAGAAGGAGAAAACAAAATCGCAACTATGAAGATTCATCATTTATTCAGTCTAAAATCACATCCTGTGGAATTAAATTTATGTAACTGACTGTCAATCTTCCCTTCAAAAACTGCTTCCCTCACACCATCGAGAATTTAGGAAATCCATCTTTTATCAAAATTCAGGTTTAGAACTCTCAGTGTTTTCTCTTGTAAAAATCTCTTGTGCTTCCAACCCATCTGAAATTAGTAAAACATAGTAGGACGTGACTGTTTATATCACTATCAATTTTATTTCCTATTAAGCTGAGTTATGAGAATGAGAGACTGTCAACACTGTAGAAGAGATGGAATCTTCCTTTTCACCATTGTTCAAATTCGCCACCTTCTTCATAAATGCACACTAGTCAGCGCTCGTTTCTGAGTACTCATGTTGTACCTGTGTGTACTTTCAGGCAGATTTGCTTGTGGATTTCAATGACCCCCTAAGGTGATGCAGATGTTTTTAATTCAAAGGGCTGACAGTAGGTGTGCTTATGAACGACTTTGCTAGCAAGTATGTTTTCATCTGTAATTAAATAAAGGAATTACTTCCACATTTGAAGTTAAATATTTGCAGGTTTGAGTTTGAATTTTTTTACTTACATTTTCCTCATTGTACAATATGATCACATCTATGTCTATGCATTTAGACTTATATGCCTTATAGAAAATATTAATGTGAAAAAGAAAGATTACTATTAAAATCTTAAGTTTAAATCTATAATATAGTAAGAATGATCAAGTATTATTTTTAAGTGGATTGGTTTTGTTTTAGATTTCTCAAAGCACATTTTTAAACACCTGGAAGAGTTCAAGCTTTCAATATTATAATGTAGATAGTCAAAATTCTGTGTAGTATTTCAGTGTGGAATTTCCAGGATGAAGAGCAGACAAAATTGTTGAGGTCAAATCGAGTCAAAAGTAGGTTTTTACAATTGCATTGGGCAGGCAGCCTGGAAAAGACACCTTGCAGGGGGGATAAAGCAGTCACACACATGGAATGGAACCGTCCTGTGCTAATAATCACCCGTGCTCATATTTGAGGGGGAAATACACCTATTGCCCAAAAGCCCTCATCAAGAGGAAGAGAAGACAGCATACTCTCGGGTGTGTTCATCCTGCCTTTATACAACTGTGCCTATGAAACTGGTGATTCCCTATGTCTGAGAAATGACTTGATGGCATTAGATGACCATAAAACCAAAGACAAACTGCATCCCTGACTGTTAAGTGTACTAAGAAATTGAAGCAGGCCTGCATCTAACTTTCTAATTTCTTCGAGCTTGATGCCACCTGATATTACACGCTGAGTTCTCCCCAGACTGAACAATACACAACGAAGGTCAAGGCTTTTTGATAAAGGAAACTAAACTTAGAGTCTTTTCTCTCCGAAGCCAAGACTGGTTAAATACGGTGCTTTTCACAGCGCTGAGCACAGCGGGCAGTCTGATGGTGTGACCGCTACCTTCGTGTGCCCACCGCTCCTCTGGGGGAAAGACACACTTCAACTTCCACGCAAAAGTAGCGTAAGCTGATATAAGTAAGAGCCACCTAAGTAGCAACGGCACTGAGTCTATAAATTTCCCAAAGCCATACATACTCACAAGAGGTGGGGTCGGGTTCTGAAATCAGACAATTTGAAACGAATGCCCAGGATTTTAATCCCAGAGAGCTCACGAGGCAAGACCACAGAAAACTAAGATGCAACAAAGCTAAGATGTACTACAGTACTTAAAAGGTGCTTTCACGGACAGCAAGTCCTGTGAACTTTTATTCCGGCATTTAAATTCATTTAATAAAATAGTTTTCCATAACTCAAAATAAATGATTTTAAAAAACTTTAAAAATGATTAGAAAGTGAATCAGATAAACAGGGTCTCATCAAATGCATCAAGATTGTTCTAAGAACAAGAGAATAAGCAGCCAGTCAAAAAGGAAGCCCCAAGGGTCCCATTGTTTCACTAGGAAGAATAACACTCTTTTTTTCTTTCTTGGCTCTTTCTACATAGTGAGAAGCAGCTGCTTGAATGTTATCCATTCTGCCTGACTTAGAGGCAGACTCAAAAAACCTTCATCTATCACAGCATCAGTGACACTAAAGGTAAGCAATTATTTTTTAGACCCATAGAGTACATTTTTTAAAAATAGAGACCAACGCCCATGATCAGAATTAGCACTCAATCAGAGAAAAAAATACTAAAATTTTGTTTTTGTCTTTGCGTGCCTATCCTTTTACTAAGGTATGATCTAAAATAAATGTATGTAAAAAGTAATTTAACACTGAAATATATTACATGGTGAATTGTCCCTGCCACTAGTCTCGTATGTTGAACCCCAAGCTTTCAATATACCAGGTGGGGGCTATGATTGTAGAGACTTTAAAGAAGTTATTACAGTATAATGAGACTTGATAGTGGCTCTAATCCAACTGGATTGTGCCTTTCTAAAAAGAAACTTGGGCACATAAACTCCAGGAGAAAGGCCACATGACGGTGAAACGGGGGACACCACCTGCCAGCCAAGAAGGGAAGGTTCAGGAGAAAAGGACCCTGCCAACATCCTGCTCTTGAACCATGATCCTCTGGGGCTGTGAGAAATAATCTTCACTGTTTAAATCACCCAATCGGAGCTAGAGATTTAGCTCAGCAGCATAAGCACCTGCCTTGCAATCAGGCAGTCGTGAGTTCGATCCCTGGTACCGATAAAAATGAAAAAGACCCCCCAAAAATAAATAAATAAATAAATCGCCCAATCTATGGGATTTTGCTATTGAAATGCTATAAAGCTGATTCAGACACTAATTCCAAAGGCTAACAGAAAAAATTATTACAATATATACACATATAATAAAATAAAGGGACTCACATGTAAGTGCTTCAAGATACTGTGTATTGTCACAAAATAAATAGTAGATACTAAGAGATCAGTGGGTTTACCAAACATACCTTGTTGTCAATCCTCTTCATTGTTAAGAGGTCAAGGGACTTCAGAGCATGTCCCGTAGGTGAAATGAAGTAGAGGCATACGTGGATACGAGTGTCCTGATACTTGAAGGAACGTTTAATTTTCAGTTCCTCTTGAAGATAGGCCTCAAACTGAGCATCAATGTAGTCAATTATTGGTTGGTAGCTTAAAAAAAATGAACATTTAGCATAACAAATTAATAAACTGAGTCTGATTTTCAATCAGCTAATAAACAGTTTTCCACATGGATAAAAATCATGTATTAGGTGTCAGTCCAAAGATAGTTCTAGCCTGGAGGCATAACAGTGGTGGGATAGAGCTCAGTCATAGAGGGCACATCATGTATGTGATGCAGGTTCAATCCCTAGCACCAAAAAAGAAAACAACTCCAAATCAGTAGAAAGGCCCAAAGTTTACACTGCTAAATGGCACAGTGATCAGTCAACTTGATGCAATTACAATCAGAAATCAAGCTCTTTTTCTTTTGTACTGGGGATCCAGAAACCAAGCTTTTTACAGATATGTTTAACCAAAGAAAACCAAGCAAACCACATTTTTCAGACTTTGAGTTTTATTTGGAAGCTAAAATATTAATGCAGTGGGCTATCAGAGGAGAAACAGTTAAAGGAATTGAAGCACAAGATAATTTTGAGGTGTGATAGAAGTGTTTTATGTTACAAGTACAATGCCACTTTTAAATCTACAGAAATGCACCACAAAGAGTGAATCTTGCTATATATAAAAATTTCAAACAGTAATCTAGATAAATAAGTTAATGTGTAAAGAGGCAAAGAAAGGAAATGGGGGCCAACATTGTGGAGGGACCAATGAAATATGTTTAATTACAACTGGGAAGTAAAATAAAAGGAAATATCTGGAATTGTCTACCTCAGATGAAAGTAAAACAAACTGCGTATCGTCCTTTAGAATATCCAGGAGAGTCTGGGAGAAATAGAAAATGGAATAAAACTAGAAAAATAGATTTAACTATTTTTGAAAATGAACAAGATAACTATAGTAAAGGTATAAGGAAGAAAAGCACTTACTAAAGTAACTGTGGAAAAGTGTTTTATCTGAATCCAATATGACTAAAGGCAAACAGAGCTGTAAGTGAACGCTATGTTGTAGTTAGTACATTTATATTTCACAGGAAATAGGCTAACAAAACATTTAATAAGGCGACGGAAGGATTTTTGAAAGTTTTCACTATAAAGAAATGACAAGCAGCAGTCATGAGCCAGGAAGAGAACCAAGAAGCCACCACACCCTCCTGTGAGCCAGCCACACATGGGCTGGGAGACAAAAGGAGTCCGCTCCCGCTTCCCTCCCACCAAGCAGCAGGCTGATTTGGAGGAACGCAGGCTGAGATGATAGCAACTGAAGCAAAAAACCAAAAACAACAACTTAATGCTTGTATTGTCTGACTGACTTTGCAGGCCTAAAGCCTGTAGTCTGAGGATCTACTTAGAGCATAACAATATGCAATATAGCAACTATAAGGGGTTTCCTTCTGTCTTGTTTTTCAAATCCAATATTGCTCTGTTTTGTTTTGTTCCATTTTATTGTTTTGTTCTATTCCCTTTAAAATAAAAAAAAAATTATAAAGTTTTGAGGATGAAAATGTGTTTAAACTTATTTAAATAAAACATACACATGAAAGGACTCCATGTATATGTACAATTTTTGTTTTATGTATCAGAACAGTAGTTAAAGTTTTATTAACAATTTTTATAAATTTTATTTTATAAAATAAAGAACATGAGACCTGCCCTCTTAGGAAATGCTGAAGTGTACACCATTGTTAAGTTAACTAAAGCACAGCGTTGTGCAGAAGATTACTACAGTGTAGGGGCTGGAGATTTAGCTCAGCGGCATAAGCACCTGCCTTGCAAGCAGGCAGTCATGAGTTCGATCCCCAGTACAGAAAAAAAAAAAAAAAAAGATTACTACAGTGTGCTCTTTTTGCTTAGTCAGCTTCATGCTTGTTAATTTTTAATTCCTCCTGGCCCTGAATCAAGGCCAGCAGCTTCCTGACACGGTTGGTTTCAAGCAGAAGCCTAAAGAGATGTCTTTCTATGGTCTGTTGGCCATTTGAGAACTTGGACAGTGAAATGGTCAATTCATTAGAAAGAAACAGCTTGAAGCAACCCCACCCCATGAGCAGCTGTCAGTGTGGCAGGCTGCAGCGGCCCAGGACAGGAGCCACCAGCGTTTACTGGGACCTGCGCCATGCTGAGACCTGGAGCGCCAGAAAACCAAGCAACTCCTCCCCCCACCTGTTTTGTTTTGTTGGACTTCAATATACCTGAAAGTATAGTCAGCTATTTTGAAGAAAATGAGAGACTCTATAACAGCCATTAGTGACTTCCCTATTGTCTGGTTTTGAAGACCTAAAACACCTTCCTTATTCTGGTCGGTCAGTTTTATACTATGTTGTTTTGTATGAATTCTCTGTATGCAAAGACATGGGCAACTATTTGGAAGAAAATGAGAGAGACGATATGATAGACAGTGAAGATCTCAGGTCATCTAGCTTTGAAATTCATATCTCTTACATTGCTTTCTTGTGTCCTACTTTGTTCTGTTCTGTTGTGTTTAATTTTACCCCCTTTAAAATAAAAAAAATTAATTCCCCATTTCTCCTTGGGCTCTATAAAATTGGTTGCTTTAAATTTTTTCTGTCAACAGAACTATACAGTGCTCATCCTTCTGTGACCGATACACTTTATACAGCATAATCTCCACCAGACTCATCCATGTTATCAAGTACTGCAAAAAAAGTTCTTTCTCCTTCTTCCTCCTCCTCCTCCTCCTCTTCTTTCTTCTTTCCCTTCTTCTTCCCTTTGCCCTCCCCTCTTTCTTCTCTTCCTCCTTCTTTTCTACTCAATGGGCTTCATGAAGCTGATCTCGAATCTGTGACCCTCCTCCCTCAGTCTCCCAGCAGAATTTCTTCTTTCTAAGGCTGAGTGACATTCGAGTGTGTGTGCACACCACATTTGCTTAGCCCTTTCATCTGTCACGGGACCTTTAGCTGCTCATGCATTTTGGCTATTACAAATACTGCAGTAATGAATATGGGGACGCTAATAGCTCTTTGTGCTCCTGATTAGAATTTTTAGGTAAATACCCAGATATGGGATATCTATACTTTTACCTGTTTGAAGAATCCCCTAGTGTTTTACTAACAATGGACCAGAGTCCCCCTTCCCCCAGGAGGAAGAAGGAGAAAGAAAAATATTTTTGCAATACCCAATAAAGCGGATGAACCTGGTGATTTTGCTATGTGAAGTATATCAGACACAGAAAGATGAACACTGTGTAATCCTGTAAAAGATTTAAAGCAACCACATGTATAGAGCCCAAGGAGGAAAGGGGAGTTCATTTGCTATTTTATTTTATTTTATTTTATTGATAATAGCCATCCTAACTGTGAGGTAATATCTCATTGTGGACTTCATTTTCATTTTTCTCACTAATAGTAATATTGAGCATTTTCCTATATATTGGTCATAAAAAGACCATTTACACTAACACTCAAAAAAGCCTGAAATGCAGATGTTCATTTCAGCAATAAAAACCCGAGTGTCCAAGCACAGAGTTCTCAGAACACAAAGAGACGTGAGAGGCTCTTTAATGTCATCACCGCCAAGCAGTGTGAACACTCGAAACATTCATAAAATCCTGAAGCCGACAGGGTTAACAGTGACGAGGAGGGGTGAGTTACTTACCAGACAGACTTATTAAGGGATCAGAATTACATCGGAGGGTACATGTTAAAAGAGACCCGAGGAACTGTGTAAAATGCCTTACTGTTGCTAACATGGATTTTCACAGTACTTGGACTATTTTCATTTTTTACAGAAATTGTTTTATTACTTGGATAACTGATTTTCAGTGAGCAATCTAACTAGAAAGCAAATGGGGAAATCATTTTAAAGATATTTAAGAAACAACCTTAGCATATAGCTGTCAGAATGGCAGTCTCTAAGAAGGTACTTCTGTGCCCACATCCCTGCAAACTATAAACGTGAACTACTTTTGCAGGTGGAGGGAGAAGGTTGTGGATGAAATTAAGCTAAGAATCTTGTTCTGTTTCTGACAAGGGTCTTGCTGTGTAGTTCAGGCTGGCCTTGAGTTCACTAGGCAGCCCAGGCTGGCTTTGAACTCAGGGAGACCCTCCTGCCTCAGCCTCCTGAGTGCTGGGATTACAGGAGTGCACCACCACGCCCAGCTTACCTAAGAATTTTGATGAAAGATCATCTGGCTCATCTGCATTCACCCTAAATGCAATCATAATTGCCCTCAAAAGTGCTCCTAGGGGCTGGGGATTTAGCTCAGCGGCATAAGCACCGCCTTGCAAGCAGGCAGTTGTGAGTTCGATCCCTGGTACCGATAAAAAAAAAAAAAAGTGCTCATAGAGAGCGGAGAGTAAGTCTGGGGAGAGACAAGGAGCAGACTGGGGTGATGTAGCCAGATGACATGGACGCGGGGCACAGAAAGAAGCAAAGAGGGCCTGCTTTCTAGAAACTCCGAATGGAGGTCAATTCTGAAAACACCTGGGTTCTGGACTCCCGAGTTGTGGAAGAATCAGTTCACAGGGTTTTTGCTGCTGTTGTTTGTTTTGTTTTTAGTGTCTGCTGTTCAAAGCCATCAGTTTATAGCAATTTGTTGCAACAGACTCAGAAAGTGAACCTAGGAAGCACTGGCTGCCTGGGTCTTAGCCCACACACGGTGTATGTGCAGGCCGTGGTCACACCAGCACCAGCTCTAAGGCCACATTTCAAAAAGTCTTTTCTGACAAGCTGACTACCAGGGTGGTGCTCATCAGCATCACCCAATTCATTTTCCTATTGGTGAAAATCCAAGTGCTGTACTTGTTCCCAAACTTATTTTTCACCTGAGTGTTGCAGGCTTTAAAAATGGTTCTTTCGGGGGAAAAAAAAAATACTTTGCAGGGTTTGCTGACTTCTGTGGAACGAGTGTCGCATCGCAGCTGATTTCAGACCAAGCCACAGGACGCCATGATAGGAAGCTCAGGGAACAGATGAACCCAGCGCCAGGGCATCGGCCTCAGCCACATCTGAGCCCCAGAAAACGCGTCTACATGCAAAGAACATTTTGACTCCAATATTAACTTTCGGTAGGAGAATCTTACATAGTCATTAGTACACAAGCATTTCTTTGACAGAGTAAGGATCTAAAACTGTTGCTATGGCATGATTTCCCTCTATCAGAGTTAACATTTGACACGGAGCTATAATACTGAGAAGGAAGAAAAGCTAAAACTAGCACAAAATTGCTACAATGGGTTAGCCTAAAACTGCTTAGAGAAATCAGGAAACTGCTGGATGAAAGTGTCAGTGTCATAAGAATATTATTTACTTAGAAAAGAACTAAACTCTGGAAGGAAAGGTAATTACCTTAGAAGAATATTACCATTTAGGAAAAAAGAAGGCACATTTCTTGAACTAAAAGCCTGTAATTGATTAACATAAGAAAATACTGACCTGCCTTCTTTGTTTATCTGGTCACCGTACCCCACAGTCTTCACTACGGTCAGTTTCAGCTGGACATTGCTTTCCTGAAGATCGTATGTCAGAACTTTTAGTCCAACATTTGGATAAAAATGTGAGGATTTGGTATCTTTCAAATTAGTATTAAACAAGGTGTTAATCAGCGTTGATTTTCCGATCCCGGTTTCCCCTGTAATCAACACAGACACAGCCCCTAGGTGGGTAATGTGGCAGACGCAGGGGCTCAGAGGACCCCACAATGGTTTTTAAAAAGTCAAATTCACCGAGGTGAGCAGTCATATGGTGGCTAGAGGCTGGTAGAAGGCACAGAGATCTATTGCTAGAAGGGTACACATTTCAAACAGGAGGACACTCTGAGGGCCGTTGTACAGGAGGGTGATCCTAGTTAACAAGGTGTTACATGTTTCAAAAACTAAGGACGGGGCTGGGGATTTAGCTCAGCGGCATAAGCGCCTTCCTTGCAAGCAGGCAGTCGTGAGTTCGATCCCTGGTACCGATAAAAATGAGAAAAAGACAAAAAAAAAAAAAAAAACAAAACAAAACTAAGGACAAATTTCCAATATATTGCCATGAAAAAGCCAGGCAAATACAGTGAGGCTCATGTTAATTAGCCGTTCCATGTTGTATTCAAATACCAGCACACCACACTGCACACCGTAAATGTGTACAATTGCAATTTGTTAGTCGAAAATATTAACTTCAAATAAATAATCCCAAATGCTCCAAAGAATAAGATAGTCCTGAAAATATATATGCCAGTCATACTTCGGTCATTAGCATAGTGGAGAAAGCAAACACACTCATCTATGTCGGATTTTGGAGAACACACTTAAATTTAAAGCTTAGCTAATACAGCTAAAAAGAAGGAAAGCAGTACAAATATGATTTAAAAATCATCATGAGGGCTGAGGGTTTAGTTCAGTGGCACAGTGCCTGCCTGGCAAGCGTGAGGTAGTGAGTTCAATCCCCAGTACAAAAAAAAATCGTGAACTCACTAATATTGGACTGTGTAAGGGAAGTGGAAATTAACACAAGAAAAATGTGTCTTTTGGAACTCACCCACACAGAGAACATTAAAAGAGAATCCATGCTGCATGGATCTGTTCACCAGCTGATAGGGCAAACATTCAAAACCAAAGTGGCCAAGGGTAGTTAAGCAGCGGATATTTTCTTTTTCCTTAAGAAAAAAGAAAAATAAAAAGATTTTCATTAGAACAGGAAATTAAGACATTCAAATGGACCAATATCAGGTTACAGAAACTAAAATTATTTTTATTATTATCTCAGACCGGTTCAAATACAAATTAATTCGTGCAAAAAGAAGTCTCATACGAATACGGTACACAGATGTTGTTACTGGAACCTATCTCCAGTCACACTCAACAAGGATAGGTTTCTAAATTTTAAAACAAGGGAACTCAAGAAGCCCCAGTATATTATTCTACAATACTACAGCTGGGGATCTAGCTCAGTGGTGTAAGCACCTGCCTAGCAGGTGCAAAGTCATGAGTTTGATCACAGGTTCCAAAAAAATAATAATAAATTATTTTTCCATAACAAAGGAAAAATTTAACATTTTTCATTATTTAAGAGTGTATCAATATATTAAGAAAAGTTAATGCATGTTCATATGGGCAAAGAACCAAAATCAATTTAAAATTCAAATACAAGCAAATGAATTTCGAATTTTTCATATATTCTCTGAGGACTTGTATTGTATCAAACTGGTAAAGGAATCTGCAGTAGCACCACCTTGGACAACTAGAGATCTGTTTATATAACTCCTGAACACTCACTTTTATTTATTTATCTTTTGTTTTGGTAGGAAGAATCGAACTTAGGACCTCTCACTTGCCAGGTAGGTGCTGTACCACCGAGCTGTATCCCCTGCCCTTGGCTGTTTGTTTGTTTTGTTGAGACAGGGCATCACTATGTATTCTAGGCTGGCCTTGAATTCACTATGTAGTCCAGGGTGACTTCAGACTCGCCGTGGTTCTCCTGCCTCAGCCTCCCGAGTGCTGGGATGACAGCATGCACCACCATCCCTGGTTATTTTTGAAAGGTGTGTAACAATATATATTAATTTCTTCCCTGGAAATCTCTACCAAACAACTAGGAATTTCCACAAAGCTTTATTCCAAAGTGTTCACTGTAGCTACTTTTAGAACAGCCATCAACACAAGTGTGCAAATCAGTGTAACTCAGTGTGCTGTCTGCATGCACCGTGCATGTTGATTGTATCTTCCACCCTCACCCAGCCTCACTTCTACCCCCCACCAGCAACTGTCCCAGTCCCCAGCAGTCACTATTCTGTGTACAGGTTCACTTTCTTTTTAAGTTCCCACACATGACACAGAACACGTGACATTTGTGTTTTTACACCTAGCCAATTTTGCTAAACTTGAGGTCCTCCAGTTCTAACCATTCTGCTCAAATGGCAGGATTCTTTCTTTCTTTCTTTTTTCTTTTTGTCTTCTTGAGACAGAGTCTCACTATGCAGTTCAGGCCGGTTTTGGACTCACTTTGTAGCCCAGGCTGGCCTCGAACTCACAGCGATCCTCCTGCCTCAGCCTCCCGAGTGGTGGGATTACAGGTGTGCACCACCTCGCCCAGCAGGATTCTGTTTCTTTATGGCTGAATAACAATTCATGTGGAGATGGCACCTTGACTGATTCTGTATCTCAGCCGATGTGAACAGCGCTGCAGTAAACACGGCTGATTTCCTTTTCCGTGGATGTATTCTAGACTTCGAACACAGCATCAGGGGTATCCGTCCTGTTCTCCCTGTGGCTGAGATTCCCACCAACGGAGACCAAGGGTTCCTTTCTCCGCCTCCTCAGTAACACTTGTTCTGTCCAGTGACTGCCATCACAACGGGAGTGCCCACTGCCTTCCCCAGGCCTAAGGCTACTGAGCAGCGGTGCTGTGTCACTGCCTTTGTATCTCCTTTGAGAAGTGCCTGCCCATCACACGCTCACTGTTTCACTGTGTCACGTGGCCTCTTGTTCCTAAGTTTTGAGTTCTTGCTACATTCTGGGTGTTGCCTCTCTGCCAGACGAGCAGCTAGCAGGTGTTTTCTTGCATTCCATAGCTGGGCTCCTTGCTCTGCTTAGTTTTTTCCTCAGAGCTCGGAGATGGGACTCCTCTTCCGGCTGCCATCGCCTGCTGGTGGCAGCGGTCCTGGGCCAGAGGCCCACCTCAGTGCCACACAGTCCCAGGGACGTGCAAGTCGTGGCAGGTAGTGGCTCAGGAAGTGACACAGCATTGCAGCACTGATGGCCCTGGGCATGGCCTTCGGCGGCCTGATGCTCCCACAAGATTCTGCCTAATGCTGGGCCTGTCCTTGTCCGTGGTGTGGGTTACGAGGACAAACTGCCTTTTTTTGTACACATCGTCACCACCGGTGCAAATGTGCTTTCCAACGTGACCAACCTACCAAGTAGACTGGGTAGCTGCAGCGTATTCATGACAAACCTCGGCTTAGGGTGCCCTCTAGTGCCTAAAGTGCGGAAGTGACTCCAGGCGCCGAGAAAATAAGCAGCTGTTTAGAATTTCTGGAGACAAGCACAAACCAGATTCGGGGATTTAAATGAATACCTAACCCTTCAGTCCAGATCAGGCGCCTTGAACGTATGATCTGTGGTATGGTGGCAGACACCTCGCCCTGCAAGATCTAGGTGCGTCACACGCTCAGAGAGCTTCAAAACAACGCAGGAATTAGTTCACTTAACAGCAATATTTACATAGATACAGAAGCTGTTTTAAAAATCAAACTAATCCTTGAGCTGAAACACACACTAGGAAAAATTTAAAATCCCACAAAAGGCATCATTATCAGACTAGATCAAAAAGAAAAAGAATTAATGAGCACAAGGACAGGACTATTGAAAAATGTACAGGGATTGGAGAAAATAAGAAAAAAATAATAAAGAGGAATTTTAGACACTTATGGTAGACAGTACAGCATCTAAATGGCAAATATCTGAATTATGGAAGCTCAAATGGGACTTGAGAAAACCAATAGTATAGAAAATTTATTCAAAGAAATAATAGCAGAAAACACAGCAAACAGAAAATGATACAAATATCCAACTACAGGAAAGTCAAATCTTCACCAAGGCATGTGACACTCAATCTCTGAAAGATAAAATATAAAATCTTTTTTTTTTTTTTTTAACAGGTACCACACTTGGGAGGCAGGCGCTTAAAAGAAAAAAATCTTAAGGCTGAGACAGAATACAACCGAACGGTGAGTAAGAATGTTCCAGTTTCCTTGCAGGCCGGTGAAAATGGAAATTTTCACTCGAGGAAAATAACAAAAGTATCCTTTGGAAAGTAATGAGACACAAAGATATTCCCAGAAAAACAAAAGCTGAGGGAATGTGTCTCCACCAGACCTGTCCTACAAGATATGCCAATGGGAGTTTTTCAAATGCAAAGAACGAGACATTCGTGAGTAAGAAAAAACCACAGCGACACACGGACCTCGCAGGTCAGAGTAACCACGCTGGGAGCCGCAGGGGGCTGCATGCACTATTGCAGATGTGCACCCGCAACATTCCTGTCATTTCTATGAAAAACAAAATAATAAGAGGGAGCAAAGGTGACGGAGTGGAGGCAGAATCTTCCCGCTACCCCATAACTTGGAACTGAGACAGCTGAAGCGAAGCCACTTAAACTGGGTGACAGAGAATTCATGATGATCCGCATTGCACAGAGACTTAGAAAGACTCGGAGATTCAGGTTAGAAATGCATCAGCTCAGAGCCCACAACAGGGATTGCAGTGGGCACAACAAAAGGCGAGGAGGAGATAGAGAGAAGAGACATCATGGACAAAAACAGGCACTGAAACAGACCCAGAGCAGAGAGGCTGACCCTTAGCTGATCTGGGAATCACACAGCTCGCTGACACACTTACTGGGACTGCAAGGTACCCACTGCACGTGTGTGTCTGCTCCGTCCTGGTTCCAGTCTGGGGATGCATCTTAGTTCTTTTTCTCTCTTGCAGAGACAAAGACTGCCAAAGTTAAAGGGGGGGAAGGCTTATTCAGCTCACAGTTTGTGGAGGTTTCAGCCCCAAATTGGTTGGCTCCACGGCAGGGTGGCATGACAGGCACTGCAGAAGACACACAGTTCATGGTGGGCAGAAGGCAGCAAAGCAAGCAATGGGAAGACCCCACTTCTGTCCCTCATAGTCGGTCCAGGCTACTCAGGATGGGTAGCGCTCACACCCTTAACCTCAGTGCCCTGGAGCCTAGCACCGCACCGTGAATCAATTCCAGTGTCACACGCTCTAGATCCAGCCACCTCCGAAAACCCCACCCAAGACTGTGTGAGGCTCTGGAAGGACATCTAGATACAAGGACGAACAAGGTGGGAAGGGCGAGGCCTTCCTTTTCCCTGACATTTCCAAATTGGGGCTCGGCCCAACCCTCAGGGACCTGATCCTCCTCAGGGATCCACACCTCAGGAGCCAGGTGTCACCAGCTCACTTGGCTCCAAAAGGTAGCCAGGGCCTGTTTTCCAGCAAAGATGAACAGTTTTGAAGGATCTAAAATGTGTGGACCTGAAGACATTGATAAAGATGAAGAATCTGTGGAAGAGTTCAATAGATTAAAATCTGCTGCTAATTTTCCAAGTAGCAGTGCTGTTTCAGCACCAACTCGGGCATATGTGGGTTTGTGGGCTGCTTTAGATGGAAGCCACTGGAAACAATCCACAAATTGCAGATTTACCAGTGGATTTTGTTTTGCAAACAATGCTGCGCAGCCTACAAATCCTGGTGTCCAAAAAGATCAATACAGAATTGAAAGCTACCTAAAAGTCGGACTGTCTCAGCACCTGCCTGGCAAGTGTGAGGATTCCTGATATTTAAAGAAAGGACAAACTAATAGACTATCTGAGACTCACGCAGATTCGAAACCATGCAGGCTGTAGACCATCAGACACCACAGATCTGAGCAGCTAAAGTCATTTCAGGACTGTTTATAATTCGGGTTTCTCATGATTTAAAGAGAAAAATAAAGGACAGATCATAGGAATCAGGGAGACAGATCTTTTGCAGGTGGGAAAGGAATCTAGAGACGGAAGCAGGGGGACAGAAAGGAGGGGGAAGGAAAGGAAGAAGAATTAATTAAAATATATTATGTACATAAACCAAATCCCCACAACAAATA